TGCTTCAAACAAAACTCCTAACCGCCCCAAAGAACATTTAATGGTTGATCCCCGACTCAAATAGACATGTGTCAATGTCTTTGATGGCTGCATGACTCACTTTGAAACAGTGCAGTTATGTAGGGTGTTCTTTTCTATGTCTGTGCCTTTTCACCACTGGCCTAAGGCCCAAGGCTAGTAAGCTTTTTAACTGGCTAGTAAGCTTTTTAACTGGCTCGTAATTGAAACACTGTAACAGTTACCAAGTGGTAAAATCAGTTTCATTATTGCCAGATTAGGAAGTTTGGGAATAGACTGCTATGTCTTCTGGTTTGTAGGCTGTGTTGTTAAAGAAGTAGTTGTTTTTGTCATGCTGTTTGTGTTTTGGATTATAAATTGTTTTCCCTATTCACATAAATTGTTAAGTTTTGAGGTATCGTATTTCCTCTATTAGATGGCGTCCAATACATGCCAGCCTCAAATTGATGCCAGGTGATAAACTCTTTCCCAAAATTAGAAGCTTAGAATCTATTAAACGCCATGTCTCATTAATGTAAATGAAATTAAAGATACCTATCACATTAAGTTATGGCATGTAATGATTACTCCTTTTTGCTCCTGATATCTCAATGTGCCTTTAGAAACAGTATATCGAGGGTACGCATTTGGGGGGTATTTGGTTAGGAAATGAGTACCCACTGTGCCAGCATTAAACAGTTGCCAAGTCAATGTCTTGTGCAAATATAAGGTGCCATTGCATCCAACAGAGGAAATACGGTATCCTCACAAAGATCAGTATCTAAACATGGGTCATGTTTATTGATTTGAATCACAGGAAAATAACAATCTCATGTATTGATGTCATCCTATGTTAATGACAGATGAATATTTTATGGTTGTTGACTGTTTTAGATGTATTTTGATGAGAATTCATCTGTGTTTTTTCGGTCAGAAATAGCTCATATTTTCATCATGTCTGTATGTGTGTATTACACAGAGGGATTGGTATGTATCGTATGTCGCTGGTTAATAATAAAATCTATACAAAACACTACTTTCGTTTATTATTTGTTTGTTTGTTGTTTAACACTGCACTCAGCAATAGCCCATTTCTGGTGTCCCCCGCCGTGATATAGCTGGAATATTGCTAAAAGCAGCGTAAAACCAAACTCACTCACTCAGCAATATTTCAACTACATGAGGATGGTCTGTAAAATAAACAAATATGGACCAAACAATCCAGTGATTGATGTCATGCGCATTGATATACGCAATTGGGATACAATGACATGCATCAACCAAATCAGCGAGCCTGACCAGCCGACCCCGTTAGTGGCCTCTTACAACAAGCATGGGTTGCTGAAGACGACTACTAGCCCTCAATCTTCTCGGGACTTTTGTTTTATTGACTGATATTGTGATATTTTTCATTAAGTATCCTGCAATTGACATCTGGAGCCTCCCATGGGGATTCAGACCAGTGAAGATCTAGGGTAGAATAGGTCTTCAGCAACCAATGCTTGCTGTAACATGCGATTGCTTGTCGTAATTGGCGACTGGGATCGGGTGGTCAGACTAGCTGACTTGGTTGATGCATGTCGTCAATTCCAATTAGGTGGATCGATGCTAATGATATTAATCACTGGTTTGTCTGGTCAAGACTCGATTATTTACAGACTGCCATCATATAGCTGGAATATTGCTCAGTGCAGCGTTAAACAACAAACCAACCAACCACCCCATGGGGATTCTCGTTTAGAATTGGTCTCTGCTGGTTGTAAGAGGAGACATAATGGACTGGGTGGTAAGACTGGTTTGATTACATGTCATCGTATCCTAACAGCATGGGGTGATGCTCATAATATCAATCACTGGTTTATCTGGTGCAGAGTTGATCGTCTATAGGCTACTGTCATATTTCTGAGTGATGCGTTAAGAACCAAACAAAAATTTAAATGGTGAATATTAAGAGCTTTAGTCGTCATCGCAGTCATCGCAGCCAGTGATCTTCATACTTCCTCACAGGGGGGAGGCAGAGTTGGTGCTTCATCAGTGGAGCCAATGTTGATGTGAAATTAACCTCCATAAATTAGTCCGGTGAACATAGCATGAACGAGGTCAGTCGACAGGAATTTGTTAGTTTTGCTGACAGATGTAAGCGATGAAGCAATCGACTGTGCCATAACGGATGCAGTGGAAGCTGGAGTCAAGAACTTGACCGATGCGGTGGAATCCTTGGTCAGGGCGACAGGTGGTCGAAGCGCCCCATCAATCCCCGCAACACGTGTAGATCTACTGGCAAAAATTGCATATGCAATTTGTGTTTTAGGATTCCGAAATAGAATAATCCGTCACACTTTGGACGTTCTTGTACCACGACATCTGCGTGTTCTGCAACTTTTATTTAATTAAAGGCTTTCTGGACCCGTGGCTTGTGATGCGTTTGTTGGAAACAACATCGGATCCCGCGACCATGTTCTTTATCAAAGAGTCAAGTTCATTCAGGCTAACTGGCTGTCGTTGGAACCATATTTTACAAGCTTGGTGGTCACTTTACCTGCTGTCGCAAGATACAATGGAGAATCTGGCTTGCAGAAATCAGCTGGTCGGGCTGATAAGAAGCTTTCCTACGCTTCAACGGGACACCCGTCTGGATTATCTGGAATGGCCCACACTCGTGGATGAAGTCTCCGGACATTGCTGATATTGATCCAGGTCGCGTTTTGTTTTGAGTTCCTTCACCTTCATGAATTTCATACTATCTGTGCCATCGGGCGCATGCCAAAGTGTACGGTGTTGTGCCACCAAAGCAAGTTCAATAAGGATTCGGGATTTGATGTACATAGTTGACTCGACGACCACAGTTTTTGCCAATTTATCATTGGATATGGCTTCCGCAGTGTACGGTAGTTTGCCCTTGCCTTCTTGTTTTAGTTGCTTTTGTTTAGATGACAATACCTCACGACACTTTCCTGCAACACAGGCTAACATGAGAGAGATTCCTTCGGTCTTGTTTGTCAAAGATGCTCGATAGCATGGGCCTTGGACGTGTGGATTCATATTCTTCTCGGTATGTTTTTCTTACTCCGATAAAGAATTTACAAAGAAACAACATTCAGTTCTTGAGTGGGCATGGTTTCAAGTTCACGAAAATCATTTTCAGTGATGGTCATGTAATTTTCAGAATTTTGGTGTCATATTATGTTTTAGTACATTTCACATTTAGCGAACATTATCCATATTAATAGACGAGGTGCGGTGCAAAGTTTGATTGTGATATGTGGATTTTCTGGAAAAAAACATGAATGTTTCCATGTTTTGAACAAAGAATGTGTTTTATACTTCAACATTTGTGCGACCTACAGGGGATTCTTTTCAAATTTAAGGCATACTTTATATACTAAAAGAAGAGGTGCAGTGCAAAGTTTGATTGTTGACATGTGTATATGGTCGTTATAAGTTTGGCTGCATACTGGCTGGATGGTTTCAACGTTTTCATTGTCTACAAAAAGGCCTATGTCAACGTGGCGTCGTGGCATTGTCGCAAACGATTTTACGTCGTTTCAACAAGAGATATACTGAGCTGGTGAATTTTCTGGAGACCAGGAAACACACACTGTTCCTAGTTTCTCAAAAAAGAACAATGGCAAAGGCTCGTAACACACAGCATAAATTCCATGGGGAAATAATCCGACATTTCTCGTGGCTAGGGTCTTCTCTAATTATCAGTCCACATGACCAGTGGATGACGGCATACTATCAACCATCGAGTTAAAGATTCTTTAGAGGCATTAATTAATATATTGTGTAATAAATAATGAAAACACTGAACACTGTTAAATCCAATTGTCAACGAAAATGTTAAGTATTGATGATCTTAGTTTTGTCATGGGCACTGGTGGCCCTAGACTAACATCTAGTCTCTGAAATGAACATATCGTACAGAAAAGAAGTTGTTAAATTATCTTTTAAAAAATTAATAAAAAGGTGCCCAAAGACTCTCTTCATTTTCAGATGCTTCAGAAATCTAGACTTGCCAAACATTATAGACTTGCATGGGGTGTCCCTTGGGCACGCCAGAAACCTATGATTGTGGGTTCGAATCCCGGTTCGCCCCGATTACGTTTCTAGGTTTGTCAGCACCATACCCGTGCTCGTGGATTTCACCCAAATGGTAAACGTAGGAGACCTGCATCACTTCGGGCTTTCTTCACACATTTAGCAGACACGCCCTGATATAACAGCAATACTGTTCCAAGCGGCGTTAAACCCAACCCAGTCATCGTTATAATGACGTCACAGTCAAATGACATATCTAACTTCTATGCTATTGAAGCTGGGAGGTGCGCGTTGCAAGCAACGAATTGCTCATCCCTGGGTCTGCAACAGCTCGGAGCGCTTGCGCAATTTTCCAATATGGCGGCGTAACTACCACTTGGTTGTCTTTCCCTATGAACAACGTAATAGAAGAGGCTCGGTGACTGGAGTTAAGGCCATGGCCGATTCTGTGGAATCCTTGGTCAGGGCGACAGGTGGTCGAAGCGCTCCATCAATCCCCGCAACACGTGTGGATCTTCTGGCCAAAATAGGTTAATGTAATTTGTAGTCTGGGAATCCGAAATTGTAGAATAATCCGTCACACTTAAGACGTTCTTGTACCACGACATCTGCGTGTTCTGCAATTCTTAATTAAGTGCTTTCAGGCACTGTGGCTTGTGGTGGAGGGAGGAACACCACATGAAAAGGCATATGATTTATTCAATATTTTGACTTTTACCATACGCTTCCGTGTTTTTTTTCAGGTGAACAATTGACTTTGCATGTTTGTGACAGGTTACACCGGTGGGGCAGGACGCCTCACTGAACACCCGGTGTCATCACCGTTTGATAGTGATTCATTAAACACGTGCTCATGATGCAGTCGGAATCTTACAATCGACTCTGCACGAGATTCGTTGTTGCTAAGGAAAGAGTTTTGTCGCTATCATACGCATCCTAACAAAGCAAGGAAAACAAGCATATCTCAACGAACAATATATATTGTCAATTTGTAAGTTCATTAATCAGAATTCTTCATCTCGCAAATAAATGCAAAGTACTGATCTGGGGTCTCGTTTCGCCACAGCCATCCTTTAAAATCCGACGAGACGGAAGGGTTAACCATAGAGATACTTGTCCGACGTCGTTCATCCAAAGGGAAAGGTGAAACCCAAGACTGGTACTGAAAAGTGGATCCATCAGACCAGGTCCATCGGCGCCAGAAGGGATCCTGATAGCCACCTATCCACACTCCCCGTGCAGGAAATCCTAGAACGATATCAATGCTCCTGCAAATGTGTCAAAACTGGGATTTGAAATGGGAAGATTCGGGAAACAGCATTTTTTTTTGGAAAGTACATAGGCCGAGGCTCAGTGCTTGGATTGTGTAGGGAAACGTCACCATAAATCCTACATAAGGGACATAATGTATCTCTTGTAAATATAAAACTTCACGATTGAGGATAACCGAACCAGATTTCATTGGACCCAAAAGGCAAAAAAGCTGTGGACATTTTGGGTTTCCATACGCAAAAGAAATCCACGTGTCCAGACGGGGCGCCATCATCTATACAGCTATGGACAAAATGCAAGTTAGAGTGAGTGAGTGAGTTGGGTTTAACGCCGCTTTTAACAGTATTCCAGTTATATCACGGCGTGTCAGCTTAATGTGGGAGGAAAGCACGAAGTGATGCAGGTCTCAGACGTTTACCACTTCTGTGAAACCTACGAGCACGGGTATGGTGCTGACAAACCTAGAAACACAATCGGGGCGAACCGTGATTCGAACCCACAATCATAGGTCTCATAGGTCTTGATTGGACTATGCATAGACTCGTTACTCCAGCCACACTGTAACTCTCTAATACCAGCATAGTTCGGCAAGGGTAGAAACTGGACTTTTAAAGTCAATTTACTCTCTTGCCCCGGGGAGATGGGGTTTCTCCAAAGTGGACAGAAGCTGACTCGTCGTGACACAACTGAAATACTGTTCAAAGGGGGTTGAACCCATCTCACTCACTCCCTCACTCAATGTTCCTACCTGCTGCGTTGAGGAGGTGAGCTAGAAACTGCTGTTCCTTCTCGCTGTTGACAGACACGAGGTGTGTTCCTTTCCCCATCTGGGTACAGGCCGTCTCAGCCCTGTCCCAATGCAGGGACTTGTACACAATCATGTAGCAGCTTGCTTCAAATCCTACATAGTTTGATGGACACACTGCAAGAAGGTAAATCAACTCTAATACCTTCGGTTACTATTACATATTGTTGGCAGTTTGTTTGTTTGTTTGTTGTTCAACGACGCATTCAGCAATATTCCAGCTAAATGACGACCAGACCAACCAGTGATTTATATCATGATTTGTTGGTTGGTTTGTTGTTTTACGCCGCACTCAGCAATATTCCAGCTATATGACGGCGGTCTGTCAATAATCGAGTCTCGACCAGACAATCCAGTGATTGATATCATGAGCATCGATCCATGCAATTGCCATCGATGACATGGTTCAACCAAGTCAGCGAGCCTGACCACCCGATCCCGTTTGTCGCCTCTTACGACAAGCATTGTCACCTTTTACGGCAAGCATGTGAGCATCGATCTACGCAATTGGGATATAGAGAATATTTTTTTGCGTCGAGTGAAATATTATTTTTCTGTCATCGAGTGACCACGGGAAAGGAGATATTTTCACGAGAAAATATCTCCCTTTCCCCCGTCACGAGATGAGAGAAACATGATATTTCAAAAGAGACATGGAATATCCTATTTATTTTATACTTTTTTGTAGTTGTCTCCCGGAAAATTAAATCATTTCATTACGAATATAAAACCTTGAAACGTAAATTCACCCAACCTAACACACAAGGACGGTTCACCACCCCTCGTATTTACAACTTTCTCGTGTTTGTAAAAAAATAAAAGATATAAACAAAGGTATCAAAACATATTTAGGGTCACGAACAGTCTTTATCATATATTGAGATATGATTACATGTATATACAAAATCAACTTTAACAAAAAAATATTTTGGAAAACTACGAGACCGCCGTTGGAAGCGAAAGAATACACACTGTTCAAGTAAGAAAATGGCGCTTTGCAAAACAAACTCTCTCGATTAACGAGTTAAATGAGAAAATTATCAGCTAATAACGAAGCATTTTCGAGAGAATAACAAACGGCAACACGTGATGAAGGACCACCTGTCATTATTTTGCCTTGTCAGTGTGGAACTAACGTAAAAAGGATGTCAACAGTGTGTGTACGGGCTCGACACTTACGACGAAGAGACAATTTGAGGGGAGGTAACTCTTGTATGACAATAGTTCCGTCAAAGTGTTATGTTCACTGCAGTGAAATATCAAGTATTTTGTTCACTGCAGTGAAATATCAAGTGTTATTTTGACTGCAATGAAAGTATCACTTTTAGCAACTTCAGAAAATTCAGTCTTTCAAACTGATGTGAAATAATAAACGATGTCATGCATTAACCCTGACCACCCGATGCATTGAGACAGCGACCCTGACCACCCGATCCCGTTATTCGTCTCTCACGACAAGCATGGGTTGCTGAAGACCTATTCAAACCCGGATCTTCACGGGTGTATTGTTGACAGTATATAGACATTTCTTTTTCTAAATATCAGTTTCAGGTAATCACGGAGCATTATTATACATCATTCAGACACTGCAAAGCTTTCTGGAGAAAAAGTGTAATTTATGATCCACAAGATTACTTATAAATCAGGTATTTTGACAATACAGATAGTAAAATATTGTAGCTGTTTAGTAGATACCTTACATGTATTTGTCGCAGTAGTCGTAGTGGCAGAAGTAGGTATCGTGGTTGAAGAAGGTGTCGTGGCTGAAGAAGATGTCGTGGTAGACATAGAGGAAGGCATTGTCAGTGGAAGAGTTGTGCTTTTTGTTACACCGTGCCCCTGACACATCTCCCGATTGCAGTTGTTGCTATGACAACAATCGTAACATAGGCTTGTTATTTTGACGTCGTTACGTGTCCCCAGACGTATTGCTGTGCGTCTTCTACCAATTAGAAATGGTCGCAGTGGTATCATCTCGCATACCTGGAAGACGAGACACAAGATAGTGCTTAGCATATGATGTGCTGGGTTTTAATGTGAAGTTAACTAATTGTGACATACATATAAACTTGTCACTACACAAATATGGAGACAGATCTTGGCTTCGACTGGGCTCCTGTCTACCAAAACGAGAGGTGGTGGCCGATTTCTAGCAGGCTGCTATTGGACCAAATTAAGTAGCATTCACTTCAATGAAATCAGTTGGCGGAACACGGGGTTTGTTTGTAAAAGGAGAATTCTAAAACAAACCTTCGAGGTTAAGTAACCATGTTATGTAACAATTCTACAAAGTGATCAGCTGAGGTAATACGGTATTCAGAAATGGTATCTATTCCAGGGGATGTGTTGCATTTTGGATGATGGTTGCTATTTCATCTTGAGAATATTTTCTTGGTGCAGCCAGCAGATACCATTACCGGAGTTTCGTGCGGTAAACGCCTTTGCTCTGTGTGTTACCTAAAGCAACTCTCTCAACTGTATAGACCAGGCAGCAATACCAATATTACTTTCTACATAATTTGTACAAATGAAACTTTCAATCCCACTCTTTGAACTGTTTGGGTGGTCAGGCTCACTGACTTGGTTGATGCATGTCATCGTATCCCAATGGCGTGGATCGATGCTCATGATATCAATCCCTGGATAGTCTGTTCCAGAGTCGATTATTTACAGACCGCCGTCATATAGCTGGAATATTGCTGAGTGCGGCGTTAAACAACAAACAAACAGCCAACCAACCAACCAATCGCACAGATTGATGCTGAAGATGACAATCACTGGATTGTATGGTCAGACCGCCGTAACATAGCTTGAATATTGCTGACGCGGTAACAACAAGCAAACATGCCATGTCACAGTGTATTAAATATAAGCTTCATTACATGCGAAGTGCACAATTTCTGTGTGTGTGTGTGTGAAACTAGTCCAGGGTCTTATTCCACAAACCGGTCACAGCGCAACGATTTTGGTAGCTCCCAAACTATAACATTAACGTACCTTTATCGTAGCGCTACGACAGCTTCGTTAAACGGGTGCTCCATTTGACATTATCCATAAATTTGCAACAACGATGAACACTCAGTTAATTACCTTGTGGTCCTGACACCCCAGATTGTATCTGCTTACGTTAGAATAGGTGTACTTGTATGTGAAGCACATCTGTAGAATGGAAACACATTATAAACATAGTATATATGTTTCATCAATTCCAATAAAAAACATCGGAACAACATAATTAAGTGTCCTGACATCTCTATGACTAAAATTAAGAAAACGGAAAGACATTGTTGAGAATTGACCGTGATTGCATTAAAATATAACATTCTGATGATCTGTACGAGAACTGTTACCCAGTTAGCCACGAAGGTACCATTCCCAATGAAAATAGTAGGTGTTGGTTTGTAATAACCGCTTCCGTGGTCTAGTGGTGGAGCGTCCACCCGGAGAGAGGAGGGTCCGGGGTTGGATCCCCGGCCGCGTCATACCAAAAGACGTTAGAAGATGGTACTTGTTGTTACCCTGTCTGGTGCTCGGCATTAAGGGGCTAAAACAAGGACTGGTCGGCTCGGAGTCAGTATACTGTGTCTGAGTGGGGTATTCATGTTAAACTGCGGCATAATATCTCAGTGGGCTAGGGCTATAAATCGGCATCAGTCCGGACTGGTACAAGCAGCCACACACACACGTGCATGCACGTCGCTATATACGTGCAATAATCCTCGACGCGGCGTTAAACCCAATTTCACCTCACCTTGTAGAGCATTTACTGTTTGAATACATGAAGATATTACAAAGACATTCGGCCGAAAACGTTTCCCCCGGTTTAACACAGTTTAGCTGTATCTACTTGACATATTTTCTCTTTGTTTGTTTTGCACTGAAATCAGCATTTGTAACCTATGTACCGGTGGTTTAAAAGTATTTGGCATGATGTAGCATGATGAGCGTCCTATGCCGTCACGATGGTTGGAATCAGCTGTCGCAGTGCAAGAGAATTCCAGCTTCACTGTAGACAGCTCTTTCAACAGACATGAGGTTCTGGGGACCTATTCTGGTATGGAACCCCTACATGGTTCTCTTTAAGTTACCATAAAAAGTCGTCATGTTTGGAAGTATTCATTTCAGAGTATATATGTACGTGCGTTATATTTATAACAAAAAATAATTCAGTCTCGATTATCCCGCGAGACTGATTCCAATGGGCATAACAGGCAAACTAATAGTGAAAAAAGCGGTGAAGATCATATGAATGGATCACTGAAAATCAATGATGACACCAGGTGTTCGCGAAAAGGGTAAGCATGTCCTGCCCTACCAGAAGCACCCACCACTCACACAATTTGCATAAAAAAGTTTTTTGTATGACGCGTACAGTCACTTACAGCTCTATATGTTTTTTGACGTACCTCGTCTTGCTGGCAAAGAGTCGAGCGGCTACACACGACTGGGTGTACGACATCAATACAGTCGAGGCACTGAAGACCTACTGGCGGAAGCATGTACGTTAAATATAAAGAACGTATGCTGATTTTCAAATGAGGGACCAAAAAATCAGCAACGCTAATTGAAAGCAAAACCTAACTTTAGATTTAGAAGTTTCAGCTTCTTTGTTCAATTAAGTATGAAATTAGTGAGTGAGTGAGTTGGGTTTAACGCTGCTTTTAACAGTATTCCAGTTATATCGCGGCGTATCAGCTTGATGTGGAAGGAAAGCTCGAAGTGATGCAGGTGTCAGACGTTTACTACTTCGGTGAAACACACGAGCACGGGTATGGTGCTGACAAACCTAAAAACATAATCGGGGGAACTGGTATTCGAACCAACAAACATAGGTTTCTGGCGTGCCCAAGGGACGCAACTGTGCAAGGCGAATCGCGGCGCCTTAGATGACTGGGCCACCCGTGCCCGATGCAAGTTAGAGAATGTTGCTACAGTCAGCAATATTTGACAAAAATAGTTACGTTATATTGTTGGACTGTTTTACATACGTAGTATGTACATGTTATTTAACAGATCATTCGTGCAAATATCAATCTTTATAACTTGTTTTAAAGAAATAAAGCCATAAACATTCTCCGATGACATCTCGTCACATTTATGTCGACGTAAAATCTACCTCCTTGCTGTCCACAGCATGACGTCCAAAAGACTACTGCTGACATCACCAGGAAAAACCATTGGTGTATTTTCTGTAATAAAACATGCAGATATATGTAGTTGGTTGGTTGGTTTGTTGTTTAACGCCGCACTCAGCAATATTCCAGCTATATGAAGGCGGTCTGTATATAATCGAGTCTGGACCAAACAACCCACTGATCAATATCATGAGCATTGATCCAAGCAATTGGGATCAATGACATGCATCAACCAAGTCATCGGGCCTGACCACCGGAGATATGCGTAGAGAAAACTAGATGAGTCTTCGTTGGAAACTGCAGTGAGTATGGAGGGTTTTATTGCAGTGAATATGGAGGGTTTTATTGCAGTGAGTATGGAGGGTTTTATTGCAGTGAGTGTGCTTCAACACGCGGATAACAAGCGAAAGCCAGTACAATAACGTTTTGTTGGAAGAAGAACGTATCCGTAACCACGACATCGTCAGCTATTATTAAAAGTGTAACCAAGGTGACGTCATCCCTTGTTATCTGTAATACTCAACCCCTTTACCGAAGTAACATCAGCCCTTGTTATCTGTAATACTCAACCCCTTTACCGAAGTAACATCGGCCCTTTTTATCTATAATACTCAACCCATTTACCGAAGTAACATCAGCCCTTTTTATCTGTAATACTCAACCCCTTTACCGAAGTAACATCGGCCCTTTTTATCTATAATACTCAACCCATTTACCGAAGTAACATCAGCCCTTTTTATCTGTAATACTCAACCCCTTATCTGTAATACTCAACCACTTTCCCGAAGTAACATCGGCCCTTGTTATCTGTAATACTCAACCCCTTTACCGAAGTAACATCGGCCCTTTTTATCTGTAATACTCAACCCCTTTACCGAAGTAACATCGGCCCTTGTTATCTGTAATACTCAACCCCTTTACTGAAGTACCATTGGGCCTTGTTATCTGTAGTACTCAACCTCTTTACTGAAGTAACATCGGACCTTTTTATCTATAATACTCAACCTCTTTACTGAAGTAACATCGGCCCTTTTTATCTATAATACTCAACCCATTTACCGAAGTAACATCAGCCCTTTTTATCTGTAATACTCAACCCCTTATCTGTAATACTCAACCACTTTCCCGAAGTAACATCGGCCCTTGTTATCTGTAATACTCAACCCCTTTACCGAAGTAACATCGGCCCTTTTTATCTGTAATACTCAACCCCTTTACCGAAGTAACATCGGCCCTTGTTATCTGTAATACTCAACCCCTTTACTGAAGTACCATTGGCCCTTGTTATCTGTAGTACTCAACCTCTTTACTGAAGTAATTATAACATCGGCCCTTGTTATCTGTAATACTCAACCTCTTTACTGAAGTAACATCGGACCTTTTTATCTATAATACTCAACCCATTTACCGAAGTAACATCAGCCCTTTTTATCTATAATACTCAACCCATTTACCGAAGTAACATCAGCCCTTTTTATCTGTAATACTCAACCCCTTATCTGTAATACTCAACCACTTTCCCGAAGTAACATCAGCCCTTGTTATCTGTAATACTCAACCCCTTTACCGAAGTAACATCGGCCCTTTTTATCAGTAATACTCAACCCCTTTACCGAAGTACCATCGGCCCTTGTTATCTGTAGTACTCAACCTCTTTACTGAAGTAACATCGGCCCTTGTTATCAGTAGTACTCAACCCCTTTACTGAAGTACCATCGGTCCTCGTTTTCTGTAATACTCAACCCCTTTCCTGAAGTAACATCGGCCCTTGTTATCAGTAGTACTCAACCTCTTTACTGAAGTAACATCGGCCCTTTTTATCTGTAATACTCAACCCCTTTATCGAAGTAACATCGGCCCTTTTTATCTATAATACTCAACCCATTTACCGAAGTAACATCAGCCCTTTTTATCTGTAATACTCAACCCCTTATCTGTAATACTCAACCACTTTCCCGAAGTAACATCGGCCCTTGTTATCTGTAATACTCAACCCCTTTACCGAAGTAACATCGGCCCTTTTTATCTGTAATACTCAACCCCTTTACCGAGGTCGGCCCTTGTTATCTGTAATACTCAACCCCTTTACTGAAGTACCATTGGCCCTTGTTATCTGTAGTACTCAACCCATTTACCGAAGTAACATCAGCCCTTTTTATCTGTAATACTCAACCCCTTATCTGTAATACTCAACCCCTTTACCGAAGTACCATTGGCCCTTGTTATCTGTAGTACTCAACCCATTTACCGAAGTAACATCGGCCCTTTTTATCTGTAATACTCAACCCCTTTACCGAGGTCGGCCCTTGTTATCTGTAATACTCAACCTCTTTACTGAAGTAACATCGGCCCTTGTTATCTGTAATACTCAGCCTCTTTACTGAAGTAACATCGGACCTTTTTATCTATAATACTCAACCCATTTACCGAAGTAACATCAGCCCTTTTTATCTATAATACTCAACCCATTTACCGAAGTAACATCAGCCCTTTTTATCTATAATACTCAACCCCTTATCTGTAATACTCAACCCCTTTACCGAAGTAACATCGGCCCTTGTTATCTGTAGTACTCAACCCCTTTACCGAAGTAACATCGGCCCTTGTTATCAGTAGTATTCAACCTCTTTACTGAAGTAACATCGGCCCTTGTTATCTGTAATACTCAACCTCTTTACTGAAGTACCATCGGCCCTTGTTATCTGTAATACTCAACCTCTTTACTGAAGTAACATCGGCCCTTGTTATCAGTAGTACTCAACCTTTTTACTGAAGTAACATCGGCCCTTGTTATCAGTAGTACTCAACCTCTTTATTGAAGTAACATCGGCCCTTGTTATCAGTAGTACTCAACCTCTTTACTGAAGTAACATCGGCCCTTTTTATCTGTAATACTCAACCCCTTACCGAAGTAACATCGGCCCTTTTTATCTGTAATACTCAACCCCTTTACCGAAGTAACATGGGCCCTTGCTATCTGTAATACTCATACCCTTCACTGAAGTAACATCGGCCCTCGTTATCTGTAATACTCAACCCCCTTACCGAAGTAACATGAGCCCTTGTTATCAGTATTACTCAACCCCCTTCACTGAAGTAACATCGGCCCTTGTTATCTGTAATACTCAACCCCTTCACCGAAGTAACTTCGGCCCTTGTTATCTGTAATACTCAACCCCTTTACCGAAGTAACATCGACCCATTTTATCAGTAATACTCAACCCTTTACCGAAGTAACATCGGCCCTTGTTATCTGTACACACACACACACACACACACACACAGAGACACACACACACACACACACACACACACACACACACACACACACACACACACACACACACACACACACACACACACACACACACACACACACACACACGTGCATGCACGTTGCTATATAACAGGACTGGTGAAAACGAAGTAAAGAAAACTGGTGAAAACGTTCTCAGCCTTTACTATGGGCCATAACAAAGTGAACTAGTCAGTGTATTACATTTTTGTAGAAGTTCATTGCAAGTGTATTTGGTCTGCTGAGGCCGTCTGTATACAGTGACATCCAGTTGAACGTGATAGGGGTCCAAATGGACACAGACATGGAAAAGAACGAGTACCGAGCAGTCATCAATGTTTTGACTTTAGAGAAAAGTACTCCCCAAGAAATTCATGACCGCATGTCACAAGTGTATGGGGATAGGTGCCTTAGGTATTCAACTGTTAAACATTGGTCAGCTATGTTTAAGGCTGGGAGAACAAGCTTTGATGATGACCCTAGGTCTGGACGTCCCTCAACTTCCACCAATGAAGATTCAATCAAGGCGATAGAAATACTTATACTGTCGGATAGATATATTATCATTGCTGGACTTGAGGAAGACACAGGTCTAAGACATGGATCCATTGAAACTATTATTCATGAACATTTACAGATGAATATGATATGTGCTCGTTGTGTGCCAAAGTTCTAAATTCTGATCTTAAGGAAAAAAGAACTGACATTGCCAGAGAAAATGTAGAGCTATTTGAGGATATTTTCGTCAAATTCAAAAGGAGATTAGTAAAGGGTGATGAAACATGGGCCAGCCACGATAACCCTGAGTCAAAACGTCAATCCATGGAATGGCACCACTTTTCCGGCACCAACTGAATTCAAGTCTTCAAGATCAAGTTATAGCCACTGTATTCGAATTCAATTCTGCAATGCAAAGGGTGTGATCCTTGTTGATTACTTAGAAAGTCCAAAGAGGATTATTCGTGCCTACTATGCTAGTTTGCTCCTTCGCCAGAGAGATTCTGTAAAAGAAAAGCGACGAGGAATGCTGACTGCTGGAGTTCTACTACTTTATGACAATGCCTCTTCCCACACCCCAATACTTGAAAAGGCTGATAATTTGGTATCGAAGAGCTTCCTCACCCTCCATACTCACCAGACCTGGCACATAGTGATTTCCACCTGTTTCCTAAACTGAAAGAGCACCTTCGTGGAGAGTGTTATGACGACAACGATGACCTCAAAACTGCCGTAAAAGGGTTTTTCAGGGTGGTTTCAGAACACTTCTTCCTGGCTTGAATTGAAAAGCTTCACTATCGATTTAAGAGGTATAGTAAAAAGCAATGAATTTTGTGTTGTAAAATTAAAAAAGCTGCTTCGCAATTGTTGATTTTGTTTGTTGTTTGTTAGAACCTTTTTGGTCAGCCCTCGTTAGATCAGTAATCTAGAACGCGACGTTAAACCCAATTTCACCTCACGTTATTTCTGTATACTTACACCCGTAACCGAAGAAACATGAAGCCTTGTTATGTATGAAATATTTACACTGGTTACCGAAGAAACATCAGCCCTTGTTATGTGTGTAATATTTACACTGGTAACCGAAGTAACATCAACCCTTGTTATGTGTGTAATATTTACACTGGTTACCGAAGTAACATCAACCCTTGTTATGTGTGTAATATTTACACTGGTTACCGAAGTAACAGTAGCCCTTGTTATGTATGTAATATTTACACTGGTTACCGAAGTAACAGTAGCCCTTGTTATGTATGTAATATTTACACTGGTTACCGAAGTAACATCAACCCTTGTTATGTATGTGATATTTACACTGGTTACCGAAGTAACATCAGCCCTTGTTATGTGTGTAATATTTACACTGGTAACCGAAGTAACATCAACCCTTGTTATGTGTGTAATATTTACACTGGTAACCGAAGTAACATCAACCCTTGTTATGTGTGTAATATTTACACTGGTTACCGAAGTAACATCAACCCTTGTTATGTGTGTAATATTTACACTGGTTACCGAAGTAAGAGTAGCCCTTGTTATGTGTGTAATATTTACACTGGTTACCGAAGTAACATCAACCCTTGTTATGTGTGTAATATTTACACTGGTTACCGAAGTAACATCAACCCTTGTTATGTGTGTAATATTTACACTGGTTACCGAAGTAACAGTAGCCCTTGTTATGTATGTAATATTTACACTGGTTACCGAAGTAACAGTAGCCCTTGTTATGTATGTAATATTTACACTGGTTACCGAAGTAACAGTAGCCCTTGTTATGTATGTAATATTTACACTGGTTACCGAAGTAACATCAACCCTTGTTATGTATGTGATATTTACACTGGTTACCGAAGTAACATCAGCCCGTGTTATGTGTGTAATATTTACACTGGTTACCGAAGTAACATCAGCCCTTGTTATGTGTGTAATATTTACACTGGTTACCGAAGTAACATCAGCCCTTGTTATCTGTAACACTCACACATACAAACAAAGTAACATTAGCCCTTGTTATCTGTAATAGTCACACATACAAACAAAGCAACATTAGCCCTTGTTATCCGTGTAACTCACACATACAAACAGTAAAACTAGCCCTTGTTATCTGTAATGCTCACACATATAAACAAAGTAAAAACAGCCCTTGTTTTCTGTGTAACTGACACATACACACAAAGTAATAATAGCACTTGATATCTGAGTTACTCACACATACAAAGTAACATTAGCCCCTGTTATCTGTGTAACTCACACATACACACAAAGTAATAATAGCCCTTGATATCTGAGTTACTCACACATACAAAGTAACATTAGCCCCTGTTATCTGTGTGTAACTCATACATACAAACAAAGAAGTAACATTAGCCCTTGCTATCTGTATAACTCACACCTACAAACAAAGAAACATTTGCCTTTGCTATCTGCGTAACTCACACATATACACAAAGTAATCTCAACCATTGCTATCGGTGTAACGCACGCATACAAAGTAATATTAGCCCTTTTCATCTGTGTATCTCACACATACAAACAAAGCAACATTAGCCCTTGTTATCTGTGTGACTCACACATATAAACAAAGTAATATTAGCCCTTGTTATCTGTGTGACTCACACATATAAACAAAGTAACATTAGCCCTTGTTATCTGTAACACTCAAAAATAGAAACAAAGTAACATTAGCCCTTGTTATCTGTGTGACTCACACATATAAACAAAGTAACATTAGCCCTTGTTATCTGTAACACTCAAAAATAGAAACAAAGTAACATTAGCCCTTGTTATCTGTGTGACTCACACATATAAACAAAGCAACATTAGCCCTTGTTATCTGTGTAACTCACACATCGTAACAAAGTAATATTAGCCCTTGCTATCTGTGTAACTCACACATATAAACAAAGCAACATTAGCCCTTGTTATCTGTGTAACTCACACATATGAACAAAGTAATAATAGCCCTTGATATCTGAGTTACTCACACATACAAAGTAACATTAGCCCCTGTTATCTGTGTGTAACTCATACATACAAACAAAGAAGTAACATTAGCCCTTGCTATCTGTATAACTCACACCTACAAACAAAGAAACATTTGCCTTTGCTATCTGCGTAACTCACACATATACACAAAGTAATCTCAACCATTGCTATCGGTGTAACGCACGCATACAAAGTAATATTAGCCCTTTTCATCTGTGTATCTCACACATACAAACAAAGCAACATTAGCCCTTGTTATCTGTGTGACTCACACATACAAACAAAGCAACATTAGCCCTTGTTATCTGTGTGACTCACACATACAAAGTAATATTATCCCTTGTTATCTGTGTGACTCACACATACAAACAAAGTAACATTAGCCCTTGTTATCTGTGTAACTCACACATCGTAACAAAGTAATATTAGCCCTTGCTATCTGTGTAACTCACACATACACACAGAGTAACATTAGCCCTTGTTATCTGTGTAACTCACTCATCGTAACAAAGTAATATTAGCCCTTGCTATCTGTGTAACTCACACATATAAACAAAGCAACATTAGCCCTTGTTATCTGTGTAACTCACACATACAAACAAAGCAATATTAGCCCTTGTTATCTGTGTGACTCACACATACACACAAAGTAACATTATCCCTTGTTATCTGTGTGACTCACACATACAAACAAAGCAACATTAGCCCTTGTTATCTGTGTGACTCACACATACACACAAAGTAACATTATCCCTTGTTATCTGTGTAACTCACACATACAAACAAAGCAACATTAGCCCTTGTTATCTGTGTAACTCACACATACACACAGAGTAACATTAGCCCTTGTTATCTGTGTAACTCACACATACACACAGAGTAACATTAGCCCTTGTTATCTGTGTGACTCACACATACAAACAAAGTAACATTAGCCCTTGTTATCTGTGTGACTCACACATACAAACAAAGCAACATTAGCCCTTGTTATCTGTGTAACTCACACATACACACAGAGTAACATTAGCCCTTGTTATCTGTGTGACTCACACATACAAACAAAGCAACATTAGCCCTTGTTATCTGTGTAACTCACACATACACACAGAGTAACATTAGCCCTTGTTATCTGTGTGACTCACACATACAAACAAAGTAACATTAGCCCTTGTTATCTGTGTGACTCACACATACAAACAAAGCAACATTAGCCCTTGTTATCTGTGTGACTCACACATACACACAGAGTAACATTAGCCCTTGTTATCTGTGTGACTCACACATACAAACAAAGTAACATTATCCCTTGTTATCTGTGTAACTCACACATACACACAGAGTAACATTAGCCCTTGTTATCTGTGTAACTCACACATCGTAACAAAGTAATATTAGCCCTTGCTATCTGTGTAACTCACACATATAAACAAAGCAACATTAGCCCTTGTTATCTGTGTAACTCACAAATACATACAGTAATATCAGCCCTTATTCTCTGTGTAACTCACACATACAAAGTAACATTAGCCCTTGTTATCTGTGTAACTCACACCTACAAACAAAGAAACATTTGCCTTTGCTATCTGCGTAACTCACACATATACACAAAGTCATCTCAACCATTGCTATCGGTGTAACGCACGCATACAAAGTAATATTACCCCTTTTCATCTGTGTATCTCACACATATAAACAAAGCAACATTAGCCCTTGCTATCTGTGTGACTCACACATACAAACAAAGTAATATTAGCCCTTGGTATCTGTGTGACTCACACATATAAACAAAGCAACATTAGCCCTTGTTATCTGTGTGACTCACACATACAAACAAAGCAACATTAGCCCTTGTTATCTGTGTGACTCACACATATAAACAAAGCAACATTAGCCCTTGTTATCTGTGTATCTCACACATATAAACAAAGTAATATTAGCCCTTGATATCTGTGTATCTCACACATACAAAGTAACATTAGCCCCTGTTATCTGTGTAACTCACACATATAAACAAAGTAACATTAGCCCTTGTTATCTGTGTGACTCACACATACAAACAAAGCAACATTAGCCCTTGTTATCTGTGTGACTCACACATATAAACAAAGCAACATTAGCCCTTGTTATCTGTGTATCTCACACATATAAACAAAGTAATATTAGCCCTTGATATCTGTGTATCTCACACATACAAAGTAACATTAGCCCCTGTTATCTGTGTAACTCACACATATAAACAAAGTAACATTAGCCCTTGTTATCTGTGTAACTCACACATATAAACAAAGTAATATTAGCCCTTGGTATCTGTGTGACTCACACATATAAACAAAGTAATATTAGCCCTTGCTATCTGTAACACTCAAAAATAGAAACAAAATAACATTAGCCCTTGTTATCTGTGTAACTCACACATATAAACAAAATAATATTAGCCCTTGCAATCTGTGTAACTCACACATACAAACAAAGTAACATTAGCCCTTGTTATCTGTAATAGTCACACATATAAGCAAAGTAACATTAGCCCTTGGTATCTGTGTAACTCACACATACAAACAAAGTAATATTAGCCCTTGCTATCTGTAATATTCACACATACAAACAAAGGCATAAGGCCTTGTTATCTGTGTAACTCACACATACAAACAAAGTAACATTAGCCCTTGTAATCTGTGTAACTCACACATACAGACAAAGTACCATTAGCCCTTGTAATCTGCAGTACGGGTGTTAATCTGCACCCGTCACCGTATCATCAACCGTGATCAGCAGTGTTTAAGCCTACTTACATCCATAGCAACGGACATCTAGAAGAAGGAACTAGACGTCTGGGCTTGGTGACATTTCATAATGCATAACGTCCTTATCTTGCCATTTAGTCCCGACCTTCTAATAGTTCATAGTTCGCGAGTCTTATCTTATGTCTGGTGACATACTAGAGGTGTGTTTCATGCTCATAAAAAATATGTGGGACTGAACTAAATGGCCTGCAGAGATTAGAGTGTGAAATGTGAAATTGGAAGATTGAAAAAGCAGAAACCCTAGACGAGCATGTCAACACATGTAAGCAAAACACGTCAACATACTTTCGAAGCAGTATCTGATGTGACCACCATTTTACACTTAGACATGCCATGCGACGATTCCAGACAGGGTAACAACAAGTACCATCTTTTAACGTCTTTTGCTATAACGCGGCCGGGGATCGAACCCCAGGCCTTCCGCTCTCCGGGCGGACGCACTACCACAAGACCACGGAGGCGGTCAGGGACAGACGGAAAACTAAGAAAAATACGACAACAATGATATATTGAGATGCTCCCTCAATTTCAGTTGATTGGGACAAGATTGGGTTTTTTCACAAAATCGAAAATAATTATTTATTCTCACCTAATCGGCAAAATTAATCCTTGTCTTTGGTCACTGAAGTAAATGCTTCTCGCCAGTTCGCAAATTTCTAATCTACTGCGGGTAAATATAGTTCTTTCGTTTGAAGGATGAATTATAAATAAATTACTTCCTCCCAGTTGTGTGTAATGTGTAAGTGAGTTGTCTGCACAGGTGGGTGGCTTTAAACAGGGGTATTTAAGGGGTGTGAAGAATAGATTTGTTCATAACCGCTCGAAGTGCAAACACGGCCTTCTATTCCTGATTATGAAAACCGACGCCAGACCTGATGCTTTTCTTCAACAATCAAAACCTAACAAAGCACAGTTTGAAATGCTCTTAACGACCGCATCGGAGCGTTGATTGCAAAATTCAACCAGACCTCTTAAGATCTGAAGCAACTGCTAGCTGAAAATATTTATTCGTGAAGTCGGGAGGCAAAAAGATTCAACGATGAAACGGTATACTCACGAAATCAAGTTATTGTAGCCGTCCAAAATCACCGTTTCGAGGATCAGGTCAGAGGTTCCCGGGCTCCAGAAATACAATAAACTTAACAAATAGCATATTTTCCGTTGATGATTCGGACGACGATACGAAGGTAGACAATAAAGCGTTTCGGAAATTACGTCAGCAACGTGTCAGTGCAAGGTGTCTCTCTTCCTGCGTCTTCTGTTCATCACATTCACTCATTCACAAACCAGCTATTTCATGTCAAGGGCCAGACGACAGGTCATGTCAAGGGCCAGACGACAGGTCATGTCGAGTGCAAGACGACAGGTCATGTCAAGGGCAAGACGACAGGTCATGTCAAGGGCAAGACGACAGGTCATGTCAAGGGCCAGACGACAGGTCATGTCAAGGGCCAGACGACAGGTCATGTCAAGGGCCAGACCACGGGTCATGTCAAGTGCCAGACGACAGGTCATGTCACGGGCCAGACAACAGGTCATCAAATATCCGCCCAAACAGATTCCAAGGGTTTTATAGTCAGTGAGTATGGTTTTACGCCGCTTTTAGCAATATTCCAGCTATATCATGGTGGGGGACACCAGAAATGGGCTTCACGCTTTGTAATCATGTCGGGAATCGAACCCAGGTATTCGGCGTGACGAGCGAACCCTTTAACCAGTAGGCTACCCGACCGTCCCCATGGGTCTTATAAAGCAGAATAGCAGTGAAAATTTAGTGATGAATCCAGGAGGTCGCGAAAAGTGGACGAATCTCTCACCCTACCTGTAGCATCCGACATTCACAAAATGTGCATACAAAAGTAAGTGTGTGTTGCCTGACGCCGTACTTCAGTACTAATGACATGCGACGGCGGCCTGTAAAAACCCGATCTGAACCAGAAAATCCTCTGACACGACAGTACATTTACTGATCTTGTAAAAACTGATAAAAAATCTCTGACAAATAAGAAATCTCTGACAAAAACAGAATCGATTGTACGATTCCGACTTTATCAAGAGTATGTATTTATGAATCACTATGACATCAGGTGCTCAAGAAAATGGATAATTTTGTTGCGAAAATTACTTTTCCTAGATACACTTAGTCAATTTTCGGGAATTGCTTTTTATATTATTCGTCGAAAGTATTTAAATGTCCAAATGAAAGTGCTGAAATCACGCTCTCCGTTATTGGTTCCCGAAACAAACTTAAAGCGTTGAGAACTGTTTCCATCGGTTGATAGGTTTGCCGCGTTTGTCTATCTCAGGCGGTATGCATATAACGTTTCTGCTATTAATCCTAAAAAATAACAACAAAGGATACTTTGTGTAATGTGCGAAACTACCTTTGATCTTGACATTGTGAATAATTAAAATAACAATTAGCAGTCGGTAAATAGCGTTATATTACTATCATCCTGTCTTGGTAATAACCCATCAGCCGCCCTCGGTCCCATTCCACACAATAAATGCCTGTCCGGGATTAATCCTTGATTATACAACTGAAGGCATCTTCAGTGTTATTACTAACAAGACACGAGATGGCATAAGTCATGGACACGCAAATGGATGACCAGACGTGATGTATTAAAAATTCAGAGACGGAAGCGAGCAGACTGGGCGTCGGCCCGATCGTCATGATCGTTGAAACTGCGCAGCGCGTCAAACACCGGGAACCCTTTTTAACCACAGTTAGGAGAATCCCATCACTGGCGATTTTTCGTTTAGGGACGATTTCGCCTGTCGTTTTTATCGTCTGTTTAACGCTATTTCCGTTTTTCAAATTTAAATATAGTCAAGCACGGCGCCATAGACAACTTCACCACTCAAGCTACCTGACTGTGAAATGAAAATGCAAAGTTAATTTGGATACTAGTTCAAAGGAAGTATCCCAGACGCCATACGGCCAAATGGTGAGGTGTAAATTGCACTGATGTTGACTCAAACTGCCGCAAAATTGAAGCATTTCAAATTGTTCATGATTTGATGACGTTTTCCACGAACGGCATCACTGAATTTTGTTGATTTTTCATATATATTTAACCGCTATTTTGCCTTTTACGCCGTTTAGTAGGATAATTGAGACAAATACAAAATAATATTATTAATAGAAATTAATGAAATCTTGTTCTTCTCGGGCGTTTTATATGTATTATAGATAGATGAGTGTCAATAATAGAAGTAGTTAAAAGTCTAATAAAATGGCAGTTGTTTAACAAAGGCGTTTTTTACGTCGTTAGTGTGTAAGGAAAGTTGGAAAAGTGTTGACAAGGAAGTAAGATAAATGTTATTTCCTGGGGTATTAAACACACCTAAACATATCAATTTACCTGCCACGCAGAACAGAAGCTTTTCATCATGATGTCTGTGTCCTCAACTCGAACTTGTTTAACATCCTTGACAGCATGAACCAGGGTGTTTAGGTCAACAACAGCATACAACATAATATGTGTAGTGTTATGAAGATCTAAGCCACTTAACATGAAGGAACAACATTAATATTTTACTTGTCACCTCATTATATCCAGACATACAAAAATCTATCAGTGAGATCATCTGTTGCAATCAGATGGAGCTTACTGTCCCAGTTTGTGTAACCAGACACGTGCGAGGCGGTGCTTCAATTTCAAACCAACAATGTACGTCAAGTACCAAATTGCTAAATAGAATGCAAAAGAAAAATCCTATTCACACACAGACATGTGTCAATTCACGACAACCACGTGGGACAATGGCCGCTCTTCACGGTGGGCAATACCCAATCATTTATACAGTCAACTAGTCATGGATAAATGAATGTTAAACTTCGAATTGTGAAGATCCTGGTTAGCATTGGTCTTCAGCAACCCATCTTGTCGTAAGAGGCGACTAACGAGACCGGGTGGTCAGGTTCGCTTACTTGGTTGATGCATGTCATCGGACCCGAAGAAAATCCGGGGTAGAATAGCTCTTCAGCAACCCATTCTTACCATAAATGCGACGATGCTTGTCGTAAGAGGCGACTAACGGGATCGTCATCAATCCCGATTGCGTGGATTGATGCTCATGATGTTAGTCACTGGATTGTCTGGTCCAGACTCAACTATTTACAGACCGCCGTCAAATAATTGCATTATTCCAGAGTGCGGCGTTAAACAAACAAACAAACAATCTGAGGCACAATCAATTCCGCACAATGCTACATGTTGACGCATGCGCCAATGAAAATGGGATTAGTTGATCATATGGATGTGTTTTGAATTGGCTGCTTGCCTGGTGTCATGCTCTTCAGTGATTGGTGTGCCTGCTTCATACTCGATTATACATGGAGCGTCGTGATGAAGCTCGAATAAATAACACTATTCTCAAACGTCCTCTCATTCACACATTCACTCTGAGGTTTTCATCTTTACAGTGTGTATGTACTTTTTCATCCTTCAGATCTGAATTCCCAAGACAGTCTTGCTTTGAAATTTAGTGTCGATTTCCATACGTGAAATGAAATGTTACAACTATATCCCCGATGTTCGAAAAGGAGACTTATGAGAAAGGTTAAACAAGAGACATGCTTATGTGTTGGATTCTTTCAGTGATGCTATTTGTTTCTACAGAAGAGTGTCACTGACTGAATGGGTGTCTGGATTTCAATTCTCTCGTTCTCCGTGGCAGTGAGTGACATATGTTTACTTTATATATATCCTGTCCAGGAAGAGAGAGGCATGCGTGTACCAGTTATTAAATAAGGAGTACCCGTTCGTTGCGTCTTTTAGGCATGCCAGGATCTTGTGCCCTCTCCACCGAATATTATAAAATTGGTCCCTTTCTTAAGACATTTTATTGTTTGCTTATTGTTTAACGCCGCACTCAGCTAATTCAGACAATCCATCATGAGCATCCATCATGTCAGTCGCCTCTTGCGACAAGCATGGGTTGGTGCAGATCTATTCTAACGAGGATCGTCACGGAGGTTAAGGAGGTAAACGCAGTCCCACCATACATACATATGATTTAAAGTCATTTCTTATGTAACCCTAGTGATGTCTTGAAAATATATCACATCACAATATTACTCACATCGATCTACAAATTGTGGTTGTCATCGTGATATAAAAGTCCTGTTGCGAGAACAAAGGGCGAGGCGAAGCAACTGTCGTTTTTATCCTGATAAAGTCGCGACTCCTTCTGTCTTAGATCACAGCCGAATACGCGAGTTCCATAACGAGTTATAACAAACTAAAATTACTGGTCCCTTTGAGTTTCTTATAACCGTAGTTTACTCAGTTGGGGTAACCTGTCAGGATAATTTTGTTCTACCTGGGTCACAAATTACTAACGTCTATTGGATCAGATCCACGAGGTGTGCTCTGATTTGCATCTCATAGTATGTGTACTTGTAGAGTGCAGCGATAGATGGTTTGGAGATGACTGTGACAAGCAGTGCCAATGTCAGAAGTATGTGACAAGCAGACTGGCAACTCTACCAGTGGATGTGCTGTCGGGAAACAAGGTCCAGCGTGTCAGCAAGAGTTTATGTATACATTATATCAATTGTTTATCTGTAACAGTCTGATGAAAACACAGACGTTTTCAAGCAGTGCCAACTGATACTTTAAAGGTGAATTTTACTGCAGACAATCATTAAAAGAATTATATTTCGCATTTAATGGTTTATGTGAACGTTGTTAAGAATTCATATTGTCGTTCTTAACAACACAGAAAGAAGTCAAGAAGTGTTTATAGCGTTCAAATAGAGAATCCTACCCTTGTGTCTTTTCATATCAAATATATGAACTCGAGTTCAAGAGTTCGAGTTGGAAAAAACGGTGGAAAAAACCCAGGCTTGTTTCATATTACACCAAGACCAGCTTTCGTGTGAAGAATCACTTATCACCCTGGATTCCCTGCCTAGACCTTTCTTGGGAGCATGGCCACTGTGGCAGCTGGGTGAATATATTGTTAGCACTGGTGTTTGCTGTCACCACTGATTTTGTATTTAATACTGAAAACTGCTCTGGCATTATATATTGCCATTGAATAGTGTACTTCCACTCTATTGTGTACTGGCATTGTAATTGTTTAGCAGTAATTTGGATTGATTTGTAAATCTAGTTAATTTTGTAATATAATTATTGATTGTATAACATTTGTAGGATGTTTGTTGGTTTCACACTAACATCTTTGACGTAGAGAGTTCTGGGTTATAATATTGTTTCAATTTGGGAATCAACACGTAACACAATGTCTCATTTCGAGACTGATACAAGGAAGGAATCAAAAGCGACAAACCCCTTTCTTTAATCATAAGAAATATATAATATAATATGATAATATGAAGTCCATTGAACAGTGCCGACTATGACCCGTTATATACCCATCACAAACACATGCAAAGGCTAGTCAAACTGATCAAACAACTTTTGAGTAAGAGTCCTATGACGTGGTTTGAAATATTCGTAGAAAGAGTATATTGAAGAAAACTAAAGTTGAAAAAATCGTTTCACTGCTTTTGTGTTTGTTCCTGTGGCGTAAAGGTGGAATCTTAAAACATGTTTGATGACTGGATGGCAATTATACATTAACTGTACACACCTGAAGGCGGGGAAGTATAAAGGTTAGTTTGTTTTTGACTGAAGGAGAGCTCTATTTTGGTTTCTTTTTTGGAGGTTTTTCTTTTAAAAAAAATGAAATGAGAGTGACTTAATCCGGACATGTTTTCACTAATCGCCTGTCACATTCTGTGATTTAGTCATGTTTCGTAATGTAGATAATCCATGCATTTTGTGCATTTGGTTAATAAAAGAGGTAAAAATGTTTAGGGGAAATATATATCCTTCAGCTATAGTTAACCGGTTTATATTTTGTAAGAATAAACTATTGCGCATTAAGCGATTATCTCCTTTAGCTATAGACGTAGTATAGAGCTTTATCACGCACTGACCTTGCAATGCTGTGCATCGTATCTAATTCTCCCTTCACACTGCTATTGCAAATTATTGTTCAACACAATTAAATACTAGGCTTCAATAAAGGATGACTTTGTTCAGTAAACAACATATGTAAAACAAGGGGTTTGATATGAGAAAATTGTAATCACATGTATGGTGCTTGCCGTGCACAGTTGAGCATAGTATTGTTTCAAGTAGTTCACTGTGTGTAATGTATGAGCCATACCGTTTCATGCGGCGGTTGACGGTTCTGCATGGTTCATTGCTTTGACAGTTCTTTAAACTTCCGACTGAGATTTTGCAACCATATATGTGATTTGCTTCTTGATACATAGAAAATCAACAGGTTGGACTGTAGTTTGCAATTATTTTTCTAAACATTAATACGGTTGCATGATATATTCACGATGTTTGGGTTGAATATAGCAGCATTCTTCGGAACATACTTCAAATCTAAACCGGAAGTAATTACAACACAAACCAAGTTAACCAAACGAAACCGTACACAAGAGTAATGAGTGAGTTAGTTGGGTTTAACGCCACTTTGAATAGTATTCAACGGCGTGTCAGTGTGTCGTGGGAGGAAAGCCCTAAGTGATGCAGGCCTTAGACGTTCACATAATCGGGCCAATCGGGATTCGAACACACTGTCATAAGTTTTTGGAGTGCCCAAGGGACACAACTCTGCATAACGAATGCAGCGCCTTAGGCGATTGGGCCAACCGTGCCCCCGTACACAACTATAACAAACTATCATACAACAAATATGTTTTTGATGAGATATGTATTGCGTAACATTCCATGAAGAAACAGTGGCAATATTACACTATCACAAACTTCAAAATATATGCACAATAAGTGCAAAATACACAGGTACATTTAAAATACAAAGGAGGTACATTATAACAATTTTATTTTAAAACAAGTTAATTATAATTATATGAAAACAGTATGAGAATTCAGCAAAACTATGGTGATGTTGAACATACATGAAATTTGTTAAAAATTGTAGATATGATAACAGATCTTGGAAATTGATTCTGGATAACTTTTGGTAAAAGTTATAAAGATTGGTTCCTTTTAACAGAGTGTACCGAATTCTTTATCATGATTGAGAAGGGACGTTGTTCTAATGTTGTTTGTGTTTTTGTATATATACCAGTTTCAATTTATAGTTTGTGATTGCTTAATCGATGTTTTGAGAAATGTGACCTTTGAGCTTTGTTTTTACAATTCTCAATATTTGTAGATGACTTGACCAACCTGTATGTTCTTGCTGTTGGATAAATGAGAATCCCTTAATGAATGCGTGAACATATTTTTACATTTGGACTGAAGTTGATTTACTGTGGATTCATAACATTTTTTTGTGTTTACTATTTCAAAAGTTTGTTTTCTTTAACCCAACCACCATTTTAACCTGAAAGATTGATATCTGCTGCCAAAGAACGTTTTAGAATGACATTTCTTGTGTTATCTATATAGGACTTGTAATCAATTATTTTATATTAATAACAACCAATTAGTACTTGACACCAATGCTCTCCTCCCACTGCTAACACTTCCTTCCTCTGCATATGACATTAAATGGCGGGGAACAATTGGTGCTCTGTAGCAATCTTTACTTTACTTCTTAATCATAATGCACTTGTACACGTGGTTATGAATCAAGCTAGAATGCAGTGTTACCTAATCCCATTTCAATATTGATGTCATGTATGTATGTGAGCGAAATAAACAAAAATGTCACAACATCATTATTTAATTCCCTCGATGAGTATGTACCCTTGACTTCATGCATCGCTACCTTCTGTTTCAACACTGACGGTAAACCCGGGAAACCAGTTTCAACACATGAGCGATAAGGTGTCGTACAATTCACTTCCTTGTTACAAGTGCGGGGCTCCCAGCTCTAACCACAGCAAGCAACGGGTAAGTCTGATCATATCTCTACAAATATCGTTTTTGGTCCAGCTAATTATGCGGCGTGTCACTTGAAATGTGCATGGTGTGTTCATTGCATGGGTCATGACTGTACTGTATATCTATACTAAGCAAACAAACGTTGTCTTTGCTGAGCTTGATATGTCGTTCAGTTAACTCCATGTTATATTCTTTTGTCATAATGCATGTGTTCAAGTGCATATGAATCACGCTAGAATACATGCAGTGTTACCTAATCTCATTTCAATATTGATGTTATTTTATGCGTATGTGAGCAGGATAAGCATCTACGACGCATGAGCATTATTTCACTCACACGATGAGTACGTACGCTGGAATTTATGCGTTGCTGCCTTCCGTTTCAACAGTGTTGTTTAATCTGGCAAACAGGTTTCAATATACATTTATCGGAGAGATAGGAAAGCGCTCAATTCACTTCCTTGTTACAAGCGCGGGCCTCCCAGCTCTGACCACGGGTAAGTTTGATCATATCTCTGACAATATCCTTCTCAGGCCAGCTTATTATTAATCTTTATGTGTTTGTTTATTTATTTAATGCCTAAAGGTGAACACCGTAGCCTGTATAGCGATATTGTAGGACAACGCCTCCTTACACACAACTCGTGTGTCATTGTTGTCTTCAGGATTGAGACCCGTGAAGATTCCGGGGTAGAAAAGTTCTTCAGCAACCCATGCTTGCCGTAAAAGGTGTCTAAGCTTGTCGTACAAGGCGACTAACGGGATTGGGTGGTCAGACTCGCTGACTTGTTTGATGCATGTCATTGATCCCGATTGCGTGGATCGATGCTCATGATATTAATCACTGGATTGTCTGGTCTAGACTCGATTATTTACAGACCGCCGTCATAAAGCTGGAATAATGCTGAGTGCGGCGTTAAACAACAAACCAACCAACAACCAACTTCAGGATTGAGATGATTGTGATGTTGCCGTGACCAGCCGACAATACATGTGTGTTGAACACGAGGGTTCACGTTGCTATTTTAGTATTTTAGTATTTTTAGTATTTAGTTTTTTTCATAATACTCCATCCAAATCTTTACGGGGTATACAGACATGGCCAATGAGGGGATCAAACCCGGGCCAGCGTGTTAACCACCTTCGTTTATCCAGCAGCTCTATGTTTAATGAAACGAGTGCACAAGTAAATTAAAACCCAGAGTGAAAAAAGCACATCAAACTCAAACACACCATTTATTATAAGTTTAAATCTTTAAATCTTGCATTGTGATTGTCCCGTCAGTTGTGCTCATGTAACGTAATGGCGTTTAATATGACGTCGATGCCTTGGCACATAGCAACTGGCTTTTCTCTTCTCTTCTTTCACCTTGAGTTACTGAAAGTCAGATGACAGGCTAAGATATGTAATGCAAACATTTTAAAATAAATTTGCATTAGCGATACCATAATAAGCATACGTTATTTAGTTGAGCCTTCAAGAAAATCCGCTAAAGCAGCTCCCAATGACTTTCCTATCATCGATATCCGTAATTGGAGTTGTCATATCACCATGAATCGATGCGTGCGAGGTTAAAAGATACGTTGGATGTCAAATGGTTCTGGTTCATATTTTTGGAGGGATGAGTGTTTTACTGTTAAACATCAAATGGGTAGTTGTGGTACGACTTTGGGGGCATTCTGGAAGGGTTGTGACTGGTCCACTTCTTATTAACCTAATGCAAATTTATGTCATAATCACCTCATGAGGAACAATATCTTCAGAGCATGGGATGCTTTACACTCCCAAAACAGTAAGGGATAAGGAGATGATGACAGAACTACAAAGGGGTATAGAATGAGGGTAATAGATGAAAAAGAAAAGGAAGGACCAGACATGATCTTTGGGGGAAAGGTCCGCACTCATGGTGATGTTGTGCTGCTGTAGTCAGTTACGATACGTGTGTCATCGCCTTGAAAGATAAAACGTCGACCATTGCGGCGCACAAACGGCACATCTATTGGTGGCTGTATGTAGTTCCGGTAGTATTGTCCAGTGACTCTTGCAGGATATGATATACATGCTGCCTTGCGTCGACGTTCGCAAGACGTTCGTTATGTCAGGTCAGAATCATGCCAAGTGGTGAAACAACTATGTTGTTTATTCGGTTATATTCGATAACAGACGTACGTGCGCACAGCAGCATCTTGAATCAGACTTACGTCTGGCGGTCATTCGCCCTACAACCTACCTCAATGACGCAACATTTACCATCACATAGAACATGACTTACCAGTCACAAGTCTTATTACTTCCAAGCACTCGCTTGGAGCCACCATCTTGAATGGAGTCTCGCTCGGGGGAGATCTCTCGTTACATGTTTATAAACCAACTTTTAACATTGAACAGTCAGGACGATTCCATGCCAGTAAGTCAAGAGTGAACCTGAAAATATTACACGAAACCTTCAGCTATTCCTCCAGTTTCAACGCAGACGATTTCTGTGGTCACGTCGTCGGGGCATGTCTGAAATCTGCATGACTTTGGGCAAACACGCTAAAACGCCGTGTTAAAAAGGCGGCGTTAAATCAAACTCAAGAAATATAACAGTGCAAAGAGAAAGACCCAGCCATAGTGATCAAGCCCCATATAATTACAGATCCACCCATACATGTGTCACATTGCCTTACGTTGACGTTCTCAAGACGTTCGTTACGTTAGGTCGGAATCAACTATGTTGATTTATTCGGTTATATTCGATAACAGACGTACGTGCGCACACAGCAGCATTTGGAATCAGACTAACGTCTAACGATCAATTCCCCAGCAAACATACCGCACCCACGCTACATATACCATCACAAAGAACTTCACTGCCCACTCACAAGTTACCCTGACAACATCGAACGCAAGCACTCGCTGGGAGCCGCCATGTTGAATGGAGTCTCGCTCGAGGGAGATTTGGTTATATGTTTACAAACCAACGAATTTAACAGTCAGGACGGTTCCATGCCAGTAAGTCAAGAGTGAACCTGAAAATATTACATGAAATCTTCAGCTATTCCTCCAGTTTCAACGCTCTAATCACCATTGGCGTCTGCCTAGAATGTGTCGATCTGTTCATGGTGGTCAACACGTGATTACCGAACATACAGATTAGTGCACAGGACTTCTGTGGTCACGTTGTTGGGGCATGGATAACCCATTGGTTTAAGACGCTGCAGTTCGCTCTGCAGAGTTGCGTCCATCGCCCCGATTATGTTTCGAGATTTGTCAGCATCATACCCACCCTCGGGGGTTTCACGTAAGTGGAATATGTCTGAGACCTGCATCTCTTCGGGCTAACACGCTGACACGTCGGTTTAAAAAGGCGGCGTTAAATTTAACTCACTCACTCAAGAAATAAAACAGTGCAAAGAGAAAGACCCAAGCAAACATTATTTCCACTGTACGTGATATGTAAGCCTTACGTGTTAATACAGTCACGTGACGAAAGCAATCCACGTCGGGCCGACAGAGGTAACACAGGTAGGGGTAGGAGACCGATACAGAAGAGATAGGGGTGTGGCCAGGGTCCAGATATAGAGCCGTCTGAACCTACTAGTAATATCATTAATACTGTGAACTCGTGTTTTGGAATATATCTGGACTGCTCTTAAAGTTATCTGATTGTGAGTGTAAACCTTAGTGTGAGTTTTGAAAATCACTTGACATTAGATTTGGCAGAAACGTGGTCCCCGAAACTGAATTTTGATGATACGTTCTGCGAAAATACTAACATCAGATCGCAAGTTTTGGAAGACATTCATGTGGAATATGTGTTCTCATCAAAAAGGTTCTCATAGATGAATGAAAAATTCATGGATCACATAAAGTGGTGTATATCTATCACTTAAAAGGAGTGTTTGGAATCGTGTTATACTGCTGTGTATATATTCACTTAGAAGTATCTACATGCTACAGCAGTAATGTTGAATCTGAGAATGGTAAATTGCTTTTTCCGGATACCTGCTTGACATTCTAGGTGATGTTTTGTGCACATATCGGTGAGATCAATAGAAGGACTTGTAAAGAGCCAGATAATGTGGAGGATGATATACTTGTATATCTCTATGACAAGGATACTTTATACTGGGACTTTCTCTCAGACAAATTTAACTGTGTATATATTCAAATGATACAGTTCTTAATAATTTTGGAAAATATTTTATTAATATATGTTCTGTTTTAAATGTACGCATTAGGAATGACCGCTTTGGGAGTGAATCCGGGAAAGGTGACTTTAATTTGTTGGCAATGCTGGGGCAAATGTTATTAATTACATTATGAGCACAATGAATATATTTTACTTGTGTGAAAATTTGGATATTACTTCACGACACGAATCACTGTGTCTGCTTATGACATTGTCTTTACGAGTGTTTCATTCATGTGGAAAACCATCATTTGATAAAGCCCACCGTAGTCATTCAATGTTTAAGTGGGATAAGAACAAATCAGAGATTTTCCAAGAACGTCTGTTATGTGACACTTTCTCATGCCTCTTACATAAAGCTATTGATTCTGTTTTTACAAACATTGATTAAAGTGTATCGTTGTTGCAGGGAATGTAACTGTGGTTTGACTGGGAACGTGGGTTATTCTAGACAAAAAGATGCACTCTTTTAAACCAGGAAATTAAAGGATAAAGATGCACCTGCTAAGAAAACTGTTTTGAACAACAAGTATATAACTATTTGCAGAACGGTGATCCTAACGGTGATGATTTTACAGACAACTTGCATTTGGACTCTGTTGATAATGATGAAACCAATTTTGCAACAGAAATATTTATTCCCCAAGCTGAAAAGAAGAAATTAAATCCGCTATTTAACATCTGAGAAACTTGAAAAGTGGATGGACTAATAACGGAATTCTTAAAATACTCTCTTGATAACATCCTGCCGTATTTGGAAATAGTATTTAACACAATGATGGATACATCTTACACCCAAAAGATTGGGCACTTGGAACCATAATTCCAAATCACAACAAAGGCTCAGTGGCAGGGGCTATAGGGGATTCAACGTACCAGTATATTCAGTAAGATATTTATTAGCATTATTGGTTTTGTGGTCGAACACCCTTGATAAGATCGAAGAGCAAACAGGATTTTGACCACCACTGATTATATGGTTCTTCTCCAGGCTCTCGTAGATAGGCATATTCATTGTCAACATGAAAGTTGCACGCTATATGTGTCGACTTTTCTAAAGCATTCGACTCAGTGTGTAGGGGCAACTGATGGTATCTATTTAATTTACATGATGTCAGTAATGAAATGGGAAAATTGTTATTTAGTTTCTCTGAGGAAGTCAAATCATTTGTTAATTATGGTGTATGCCAAGGTATATTAAGACATTTTTTGTTAGGTATTTTCATTGAGCTTGCAGCTCCAACCAAAAGAAATTATGATGATAGTATACAATTATATCCTGAAATTGTAACAGTATTCATTTTACTATTAGGAGATGAAAGAATTATGTTCTCAAGTACTGTAAAATGTACAAACCTTGATAAAAAGAGAGAGCTTTAATTGCACTGCAATACCTGGAAACCTAATGTTAATTTGGATAGGACAAAATTGATGTATTCAGCAAAGGAAATACACTGTCAAATAATGAAAAGTGGTACTTTCGGGGACATTTACTTCAAACTGAAACCTCTGATACATCTCTTGGTGCGATACTTTCAAGTTAATTATCATGGAACCAACATAGGTGTAATGCAGCCATCCAAGCTAAAATGATAAAATTTGGAATATAAATGTCTACTTTATAAAATGTGGGTATGGCTATATTTGGGACAAACAGTGTTATTTTGAGAATCATTCTATGTTTATATCGAAACTAAGACAGTAATTTTTACATGTACTTTCAAACATGGAGATCTGTCCTAGATATTCTAGTAAATGCAAATACAAATACAGATACAGAAAATTATTTAACTCATGTAAATATAAGAAAATGCAGATATCTTTAGCACACTTTAGATGCATGTTAATGGTTTAAGTTGTATGTTGTAAATAAAAAATATATTGAACAAAAACACTATGAAATATATATCTATCAATATACCATGCCATATCATTAAGAAATGAATCCTTGTAAAAATCTTAAACAGTTCCACATTGTCATGCGTTCTGCACTATGGGTCTGTGGCCACACAGTTATACATGAATAAACAGAATTGAAAAGGTTACACACGATTTCTCGCCTATACCGATACTGTTGGTGTATAGAGATTACTACACGAGTGTCTGTCAGATACCATTTATCTTACGAGTTGTTTAAAAACGTATCTAAAGAGCAAAAGCGATTTAGATTCGCTTTGAAACAACGAGTTGGTACATTGAGATTACTACACGAGGGTGCTTTCGCTCGTTAGTGGTTTTGAAAAAAAAATCGTTGTAAGATAAATGGTATCTGACGGGCACGAGTGCAGTAATCTGTCTCTTACACACCCTAAAATTGCACCTTTTTAGCATCGAATCAATGCATTTTGTCCATTCTCATGATCACAGTGGCGCATTAATATAATACAATGGTCATTCGACGTTGACATCACCCGACGTACCGCTTACCACTCCTTAATGATGTGACTCTACACGAAAAGGTTTCTGTATATCTGTGGATTATCAAGGAGATGATGATAATGCAAACTAGATAAGATCAATGCTCTCGCTGGATGCCGAGTTGTACAAGAATCCCAGAGGTGTGGGGTGACCTTGGGTCATGCATGCAACAAGCATGTTTGACACACGTTATGTTATTGTTGTGAAACGTTAGCTCGTCTGTTCTTACCCTTAAAAATGAAAAAACATATACTTATTCGGACACGGACCTCCGTATGGTGATTCTGTGATTGATGTGAAATAATTGTAAGAAATCAGTTGTCAAGATAATGGTTGGTGTACTTTTGTAATTAGTCCTTTGCGTCAGCGCTATTCCAGCAAGCTAATGGCTACGAATATGTTTAAAATCTAAGTAAACAGGGTGAACTATTTTGTGGTTGAGACGAATTGGTGTTTTGCTTTCATTTTAGTTTCTTCTGAGTGTTTTATATGAAACACATTTTTACAGCCATTAACGCCTGCAGTTATCAATTTTCCAATACGTTACAAGTATGCTGTAACTGTGAGATCTTAAAAAAGGTCCTCATTTTGTTCCTCTCATTCAGTTTTATCTAAAAGTCAAAACGGCGAAAGAGTTTTTGAAACATGTTTTGATTGAAATTCTTTCACCTCCAATGTCTATTTCATCATTGAAACCAACACCATAGTAATTGCATTGATACGTATTTCACTATGACTTTGTAAACATCATACATGTATGAAATGACTCTGAGGAGACCGCCTCCGTGGTCTAGCGGTAGAGCGTCCACCCGGAGAGCGGAAGGTCCGGGGTTCGATCCCCGACCGCGTCATACCAAAAGACGTTAAAAAATGGTACTTGTTGTTATCCTGTCTGTCGCTCGGCATTAAGGGGCTAAAACAAGGACTGGTCGGCTCGGAGTCAGTATACTGTGTCTGAGTGGGGTATTAATGTTAAACTGCGGCATGGTATCTCGTGTGCTAGCACTATAAATCGTCATCAGTCCGGACTAGTACAAGCAGCCACACAAACACACACACACACGTACATGCACGTCGCTATGTAAGTGCAATAGTCTTGGACGCGACGTTAAACCTCATTTCACCTCACCTCACCTCACTCTCAGGAAATGACTGAAATATGAGTGTCTGCTTACATTACTTGTCTGATACAAATCGGCCAAGTAACATAATCGATCATCAAACAACACTCGCGAATAACTCCAACTAGTTGTTGATTGTTAATTAGTCTGATGCAATTACTTTGGCAAATTTTCTCATCCACTGTTACAAAAACAATCTTCGTATCAAAGTAACTTGAAAGTACAAATACCCGAGTGTTGTATTAACACTTATGTATCACACTTCGTGAATTAGTCACTCAGCCGTTCATTTGTCGTCAAGGCCCAGACGGATGTGCAGCAGTAGTCATAAAATTGATGTAATGTGGTTAAAATGCACACAATATGAGAACATTTAAACATGTTGAAAATTCATCCTTGCTTGAGAATGTCATATCAAACCAGAGTTGTTTAATTGCGACTCATATCACAGCCATTATCGAGGTAGTTCCTGCAAGTCATATTCTCAATTAGATTAGGACTGCAGAGTATCGCAACACAACATCACAGTCACACATTCCGATGCCGTTTATGTAACGGATTTATTGATAGTGTTTGCCTAATTTTGAAAAAGCATGTTATGCTATTGAATTAGTAAAACATAGTAAAATATAACGCTACTCTTATCAGAACTGATTTTACTTAACACAAGCTTTGGTCAGGTGGACTGGCGTTGTTAATAAAATATTGGAGATTTCATCTTTCAAACCATACAATATATCAAAATATGTATTTCCTTCTTGATAACTCCCTTTCATTGCATTGTGTTGAGTCCCCGCGGTGCATGCAATACTTGTGACATGGCAACAGGAAAATAAACAAATAACTATACGTACGTCAATCAAATAGTTATTCATGTGTTTCTACATTTGATATTTTAACAATGTTCTATTTCTAAACTGATACCATACTGGAAAACAGGTTTAACAATATGACAGTCGTATGCTCAAGAGTCATACAATTTTATACAACACTCTCATTACTTCCTGGTCTCAGGGCGAGGCACCCAAACACGTCCACAACACGCCAAAGGTATGTCTGATCTCTCTTATTTATGTTTGTGCTCCCCCACCATCCAGCTTTTTATGACACATTATATCAAGAGGTGCTTTGCCCAAGTCAATAACACTTAACAATGTCCTAGCATTAGGGTGCTTTATGCGTTGTGATCTATCCATAGAAAGGAATATCCCTCGGCTATGTATTTGTCCAAGAGTATGAGCAAAAAATTAACGCGAAGTTTTTCAAGTTATTTATTTCCCATGCAAAGGTTAGTCAAGTGTTCATTTTGACAAACGCGGGAACGTATGACACAATTCTTTAAATGATGTAACCCTGATCAAACAACAATTAAAGTCGTATGAAGTATATTGAAGAGACCTCAAGTTTAATATGTTGTTACACCGCTTGAGAGTTTGTTCCTTGAGTGAACGGGGTAAATGTTAAAATATTTATGATGATAGAAGGAAACTTATATCCTTAATGTACACTTTGCTACTGTAGTGTAGGTGCGCGTGTCACTGTGCATGTCGTGTTAGTGACTGGTGACAGCCATTTTATGTGTCAAGGCTGTCCTGAATAGCGTTGGTTTAACACGGCATAGCATTCCATTTGAACTCCCTCCTTTCAAGTATTTGCCTTCCTGTTCAAGTTGCGCATTGACACGTGTATAGTATATTCAACTATACTGCTTTCTGATGCCTTTTAGGCTTACGTTTTTATCATTCAAATTTAAATTGGACAAAACCAGATAACATTGTTTTTGTATATCTCTTCACTGCTCAAATGCTGATTTGACGTTTTCTCGGATTTGCACCTTGTATTCGAAATCAGGCTCTTGGCATCCACGCACGTCTAAGGGACGAAACTGTTTTTGGAACCTTAGGGTGAGTGAATGTGTTTTATTGCCGCCTTTGATGGGTATTGAACTCAATCTTACATACTTTCAAGGCACGCGAGCATTGGTCTTGTGTTGACACAACCAGGACGAATCTTGGATTCGAACCCACGGTCGTTGGCTTCTGGCACATTGGTTTGCGGCCCTTGTGACGGCGTCTATAGTCTAATATAGTCTAAATACCTTCCAGAAAGTTCCATACCATGCTTGATTCATCTATAACTGTTCTAGAAGATAACAGATGACACTTGACCCCTAAAAGCATCTTAATATAGTAACTTCCACTCCACTACTTACATTGCTGACAACTACTTATTGTTCAAATACAATCTTCTGAACTTCTACTGAATCTTAACAGAAACAATGCAATACAATTACAACATTGTTCAAATATACATCACACTGCAATATACCAGTATCCAAATGAACACGTATACAGTGTATGTTAGTGAGGTCGGTTCTCACGTTGCGTCTCAAATGATCTATGGACTGATAAGTTTTAAAAAACGGATTACGTTGGTAGTTGTTTGACAAAGTAAAGTTTTTTTTGTATTATTTGCGAGGAACGTCGAAAGGTTGACAAGGACGTGAGAAAAGCGTTATCTGCATGAGTATTAAACACACATAAACATGTAATTTGAACTGCCACCCAGAACAGAAGTTTATCGCATGGTGCTTGTGTCATTAACTGGAACATCAACTTCAAACATACATACGTTTAGTGCTTTAAAGATCGAGGCAACTTTACATGAGCGGGAACAACATTTTTAATTGTTAATTCATTTTATCAACAAACAAATATATGATAGATTTTGTTCGTACGTGATTACGGGGCAATTTTTATCTTCTGCTGACTTATTCTGGTTTTATTGAGCTGAACTGACTAGCTAGGGTTTTCCATACTTCGTTTTTCTGGTACACAGTGGATAACCAACTTTCCGACGATTGTCTGGTTTAGGTAAGAAACTTATTTACTATTGGGAGTCAAGTTATTCTTTTGCTCAAGTACATTTTTAATGAGTGTGCGTCAAGATACTCCGTATGTCAAGTACCTTATATTTTGGGGAAATTAAAAAATTCCTTGCCCAGTCAAAGTAACTCTTGAGCACAGCTCCATGACAATGACACAAGACCTTGAATGCTGTTACCCTGATGAAGCATCAATTAAAGTCATATGACGCTTTTTGAAACCTTCATAGAAAATATATGTTGAAGAAACCCCGAATTAAAAAAAAAAATATATTGTTGCACCGCTTGAGTGTGTGTTACTGTGATGTACGGGGTAAATGTTAAAATGTTACAATGACAGAAGGAAACTGGATGTACACTTTGCTACTGTAGTGGAGGTGCCGGGTTTAAATTTTCATGTCGCGTTAGCTGCGTTAATGGTGACAGCTATTTTAGGTGTCACTGCTGTCCTGAATAGCATTTATTTGTATCGCTTGATATAGCTTTCCAGTTGAAGCCCCTCTCACATCATTTGCACAACACGTGTGGACCTGTTGATAATATCGTGACAGGATTTCAAATATCCACCTGCCTACTTCAGTTGCAAATTACTACATGCATAGTTCATTCAAATGCATTTTAGGCTTATCATTCTAAATATGAATAGGACAAAGTCAGATAACATTGTGTATATCTCTTCCTTGCTAAAATGATAGTAGTACATTTTCCTCGGATTTGCTCCTTGCATTCGAAACCACGATCATGGGATCCACGCACGCCTCAGGGGCGCTGCTCGGCAGGATTTCGTAACCTTTGGGTGAGTGAGTTTGTTTTTCGCCGCATTGAACAGTTTTTATGTTTATCATGGCATGCCATCTTCATAGGTGAGGAAACCGAATTGATGTAGGTTTTAGAGGTTACCACTTTGTAAGGCACACGAGCAAGGGTATTGTGTTGACACAATCAGGGCGAATCTGGGATTGGAACCCACGATCATTGGGTTCTGGCACACTGACGGTGTCTATAGTCTATTATAGTCTATTATAGTCTAAATACTTCTAGAAAGTTCTGTACCATGCTGGATTAGACTATGGCTGTTCTAAAAGATTCAAGACGACTCTTGACCCTGAAAGCATCTAAATAAAGTAACTTCAACTCCACTGCTTACATTCCTGACAACTACTTATTGTTGAAGTACAATGTTCTGAACTTCTACTGAATCTGAACAGAAACAATGCAATACAATTACAACATTGTTTAACTATACATTACAGTATCCAAATGAACACATAGACGTTAGTGAGGTCGGCTGTCCCATTGCGTTTCAATTGGTTATGGAAAGAATGAGTTTTAAAAACGGAATTAGTTGTTTGCCAAAGGTAAGTTTTAACTGGTATATTTTGGAAGTGAAAACTTTGAGGAAGTAAGATAAGCGTTATCGACGTGAGTATTAAACACACATAAACATGTCAATTTACCCACGACCATGAACAGAAGCTTATCGCATGGTGTTTCCGTCATCAACTGGAACTGACAGCTTTAAACATTCATATGTTAGTGTTATGAAGATCCAGGAAACTTAAGAAAGGAGGGAAGAACATTATAAATTAATTCATTTTATCTACAAAAACAAATATATGTTTGTAAGATCACATGGTCCAAGAATTATTATATCAATGACATACATTTCTCATACATACATGCTTTTCATTGTGTATAAGTGCGTGAGTGTGGTTTTACGAACAAACGCTTTCACCATTAGGCTACTCGACCGTCCCTTGTGTTACGAAGAACAATGCCACTTTACATGAGTGTCTAACTGTTGGAAGCAAATGTTTAATTCAAGATGTGAAGATGTACATGTAAAGATTGGGACACTGAATGAAAGAAAAAAAAGAAAAATTAAATCTACTGAAATTAGTTCAAACTTTCTACACCGGCTATTACTTAGCTTACTCGCGAAGATGACGTGATGTATTGTCCATGAAAACACACATTTCAAAGAAGAGTTTATAACTGGAGTTATTGTAGAAGTGTTGTTTCATTCTTGTTTTCGATGTAATTATTTTAGGGATGTATTTCCAAGGTATACATCATTGACGCTACTAAACAAAGTTTCTCTTATGATGATTATATGTAACTCAGTTTATAACAGAAGCTCTGGCCTTCACACAAGCTACAAGGTATTACTAGAGTTTCTGTTGATAAGCTTAGAACCTACAGGCAAGTTGAGGCGAAAAATGTTGTTGAATCCTATGTTCTTAATGTAAAATATAGGGACCACCGTCGACTTTTAGCTATGTTTTGATGCAGATCTTTACATCTTGCCATAGAAACTGGACGTTTTAACAAACCACCAACCCCTCTTAGAATTTGCCCTAAAAAATGTACAAGTCATATAAGCAAGCACACTTCATAAGATGTATAAACGTAAACAATGATTTAATTCATGAAGATTTTGTAAATATTATCATGTATAATTATGTTTCGCACAGGATGCGAACAGCATCCTTCTTATGGTTTATACACACATCAATTTATTGTTTTATTGTGTCTCCTAAACGTTAGGCTGGGCGTTACTTTTACATTATATATCAAGTTTTTGTATATACACAGTCAATGTAACGTGTGACACCTGAATATACTATTTCTGTGTATGTGAAACTTTACAACACAGTAGCAATATTTACACCATACAGTATATATGCGTTAGAACATGCATTGTTACCTTTTTCCACTCTGATGTAATCATTCAATATTCTTCCATGTTACAAGAGCGGTCCTCCCAGGTCTGATCGTAGCAAGATGGTGGTATGTCTGATCATATCTATGTCAGTTTTCCTCTGAAACCAGCTTATACATTATGTGTAATACAATTAGGCAATATCTCAGACAGCTAGGGACAAGAACAAAGTATACATTCATATTATATTGACGTTACTTGTCTTGTGAAGCAAATGTTGCTTGGCATGGTTACTGTGTACATACTAGACCTGTGAAGTTCCGGGTTAGAGTGGTCTTCAGCAACCCCTCCTTTTCGTTAGAAGCGACTAACGGGATCAGGTGGTCTTGCTCAGTGACTTGCATGTCATCGTGTCCAAATTTATGTTCTAATTCACTGTGTTCAAACGAACATAACACATTTACGATGACAACATATTCCCCTCGTGGGCTACGCCTACCGCTGGTGACAGGCTAGCGGGTTTATTTACAGAATCATACATGTAGACACGCGACTGTTATGTTATATTCCGTGTCAAACACCGACACTCCGTATTCTGTATGGTATTCTTTCTGTAACAAAAACGTACCTTTTAATATTTTTGTCACATTAAATCCTTACGAAATAAGGCTGCAATAGCCCTGTAATATCACGCTTGATTGGTTGGTTGGTTGGTTGGTTGGTTGGTTGATTGGTTGTTTTACGCCGCAATATTCCTGCTACATGACGGCGGTCTGTAAGTAGTCGAGTCTGGACCAGACAATCCAGTGAATGACATCATGAGTATCGATCCACGCAATTGGGACCGATGACATGCATCAACCAAGTCAGCGAGCCTGACCACCCGATCCCATTAGTCGCCTTTTACGAAAAGCATAGTCGCCTTTTACGGCAAGCATGGGTTATATCACGCTTGAACTATTAATATATGTTAATATGAAAAATTACTGCGAAATCTACTTTTTATAAATATAAAGATAACTTATCCACATCCATGACCCGACTCCTGAATCACCCCTCGATTGGATCACTCACTGAAAGAAAGCAATACCCTCCTACTGGCTAAACAGCACTCAATGCCCTACGGCAATTTTCCAAACGGTTTTACCTGCCATTCGGCAATAACAGGTGGTCCAACGCAGACGAGCATAACACCAAAATACTGATTATCTTTATACGAGGGGTGTTCATTAAAGATTTCCCCTAAACCACATAGGGTTATCATATTTGAAATTTCACATGTGTAATGATACATGTATCTATTGGTTAAATCTGAATTTGCAGCACCGAACTATTCATCTTAACACTTTTACAGGTGTTATGATCAAGAAATGTGTGACAATAGAGCCAGTAGAATACCGAGCAGTGATTAGGTTTTTATATTTGAAAGGTTGCACACCAAAAGAAACTTTCGATGAAATGAAAGCAACTTATGTGGAAGATGCCCCATCATATGACGTTGTTAAACTCTGGCATCACCAGTTCAAGTGTGGTCGGACATCTGTGGAAACAGCCGCCATTCCTGGTCGCCCCCATTCAGCCATTGATGAGGACACTATCCATCAAGTGGAGACCGCCATTTTGGCAGACCGACGTATAACTGTTCGCCAGTTAGCCCAAGATGTCAAGATCAGTGTAGGGTATGTGGAAAAAATCCTCCATGGCAATTTGAACATGCATACGGTGTCTGCACAATGGATTCCCAGGTTGCTCACACCTTTCCAAAAGCAGGAACGAGTCAATTGCTCAAAGGATCTTTTGGATATGTGCCAAAAAAAACAGGCAACCTTTTTTGACAGAAACATGGGTCCATCACTATGATCCTGAGACTAAAGTTCAGTCGATGCAATGGAAGCATGTGGAGTCACCACCCCCAAAGAAGGCACGTGTCCAACCCTCTGCAGGCAAAGTCATGCTCACGGTGTTTTGGGTGCAGCACGGGGTAGTGATGATGGATTTCTTGGCAAAGGGTACCACAATTACAGGAGCTTTTTATTCCTCACTGCTCCGGAAATTGCGGGACGCTATCAAGCTTAAGAGGCGTGGCATGCTGACCAAGGGTGTCCGTCTCCTGCAAGACAATGCTCCAGTACACAACTCTCACGTTGCCCAGACAGAAGCGTGGTCCTGTGGCTATGAAATGCTTCCACATCCTCATTACTCTCCTGACCTTGCTCCATCTGACTTCCACCTCTTTCCAACCATGAAGTAATTTTTGAAGGGAAAACGTTTCACAGATGATGAAACACTGATTTCTGAAGACAAGTCCTGGTTTGAGACGCAAAATGGGGGCTTTTACAAGCGAGGTCTCCATAGTTGCATAAAACGATGGGAGAAGTGTGTAACTCTTGGTGGTGAAAGACTAATACCTATGCCAAGTTTCATTCCACTAGGTCCATCGGAAGTGGGTCAGGGGAAATCTTTAATTAACACCCTTCGCATGTATATATTTAAGAAAGACAAAGACAGCTCGCCTGTGTGACGCGAAGGCCTCGAGTTGTTTCTCATTCACCTTGCACTCTCCGCTGCACCATAAGCACGTGACATCACCACTTTAGCGTGTACAACCTTCGTCTTCAAATTACATTCGTTACCGTTTTTACCCCATAGTAAATACATTTCGTAGAACGGCGCTCTGATTTGTCTGTTCATGACTCGAATATTTATAGACCGCCGTCATATAGCATGAATAGTGCTTAGTGCTGCGTTTGAAAAACAAACAAAAAATCATCATAGAAAGATTTATATTATGAAGGGAATTGTTCTAAAATAGTCCTCAAAACTCCCCAAGGATCTGAACAGTGTCAGCGAAGACGTCACTTAATCTTTCGGTATATGTCACCTTCTATGTTAGCTTTTGTTTGGTATTCTTTTTGTTTCTATCCTAAACAGCGCCAATATGCGCCAATGCCGCCTCACAGTGTAGACCAACTGTGACACATGGTCATAGCGATATCACGTGGGGAAACGAACCTGGGTCAATGCCTTTTTCAGGTGAACTTTTGACTTGCCTTTGCATGTGTGTGTGACAAGTGCAATCGGTCGGTCAGGGTAGTATAATTGGCATGTGCTATGTAGTGGAGCATACAAAAATGTCAGTTTCAAAATCTAGTTTGGAAAATCCGCTAATGCAACTTTTATATCACTATAACTTATATAACTATTAATTCCTGAAAATGGAAATGCCATGCCATCTGAAAGGTGTGAGCAGCCAGGTTAGCTGACTTGTTGGATGTCACTTAGTTCATAGTTCACATTCATGGGGGATGAGTGTTTGAAGTTGAACATAAAATGTTTTTAGGGTGGTACGACGTTTAAGATATTCTGGAGGCTAAGCGAATGAGCCACTTTAGAGGGTTTTTTATGCGTACCGCAAACTCCATTTAATCACCTTTATTGATGAAAATATCTTCAGCATATGGGATAGTGTACTTAGTCTTAATCCATGTATGACTTTGAATATATTTTTTTTATGAAATGGTGGTTAATACTGTTAAATAGTGATTCAATAACATATATAAGGCTAACAGTTAAACAGTGGACTGAGCTGTCTGTAAGTGAACAGCACGTGTTCGTTTTGACATGACACAAAGGAACAAAGGATAGAGTACCGTTGTTTCTACGTTGTATCGTATTTATTCAACAAGAACGGGTGTTTATGAGAACCGTCGATACCCTGACAATGAAGTAAGATAAACGTTTTCCAGTAAGCAATATGTACATTTTAGTTCCTTCTGGCACAGGTTTGTATAGACCTTCCCCGACATTATCTGAAACCTGTTTTAACATCCTTGACAACATAACAATTATGTATACATCAGTTACAAAAAAATATGTTATATTTTTCTAGTGCAATGTTTAGGAATCTGAAACAGTGATATTTTGTAGGGGAAATGAGATTAAAAGTTGAACTTATTTAATCATCGTTTTCTCAGAAACCATAAGGCCCAGAGAGCTGATACTTTAGGAAGACGGATTGGACAATAAACTGAGTGGATTTGTTTCACAAATTGGACAACCAATATTCAGTTGTGCAAAATGTTCAAGCATCATAAGCTCACAAACGTAAATGCTCTTAAAGGTTGCTTCAATAATTTAATAAACCAAGAGGAAGGAGTGTTTATTAATCGATGAACTGAAAATGAATGTATGTAAAAAGCTTACCTAGATATCGGTATATTCTCTACTTAACTCTAAAGCACTCATTGCTTGTCTGTTTCACATCATGATGAAACAGAGAAACAAACTTCACCATACAGTGGAAACAGTCGCTGATGTAGGCAATTATACAAAAGAAAAGCATAAAAAAGTATAATGGTTTGGAAGATATTTCCTGTACAGGGGACATTTGAGAAAAGAATTTAATTCATGTGACAGCTCAAGTTAGTCTGAGTACAAAATGCATCCATGCATGGGTCGATGCATTTCAGCAAACTGACGTGAACAATAGTAATGCCCTACAGTAACAGTACAATCTTACAACATTGGATTTGGTCCATGTGTTTATGTTAACCAGCAATCTCAAAGTTGCACCAACAGTTACACGTAGATCAACCGGCTGTCAACGTGTTAAGTGGTTCTGGTTGGCTAAATGTGGCTGAATTTGATTTCAGATTTCATCGGACAAGCACATGGACGATGTTTCTGGTATATGTTCTACTGCTTGTCTCATTGCCGGACTCCTCACAAGGTAGGTCCCTATCTTATTACCAAACTTCTAAGGCATGGGCACTGTCGGGGACTCCCAATCAAGCTAGGTCTACAGTTCCTTATACTTGTCGCACGAGCCGACAAAGGGGCATCGTGGAAGCTACGGGACTTGGCTGGTGGCCAGGTGGCTTGGGTCACTGTCATGCTGTCAGGCATAAGTTGGCCTGCTTCATACCCGATTATACTCCGTCACGATGTAACACTGTTCACTCAAACATTCACTCGAAGGACCCATCTGAACAGTGTACTTTTCAATGGAATTCCGGTCCTAAGACATAGTGAATACAGTCTTATATTAATGTGAAGTTACATACAAGAAATTGACGTAACGTGATGATAAAGAAAACATGTATTGTGTTGTTAAAGAATTTATGAAATTATGATACCATCTCCAGGTGAGGAGTGTATGTTGCTGTATAACTATATCACAGGTGTACAAAATGGAGATTTTAGGGAAAAGCTAAACAAGAGACATGCTTAGATATTAGATACTTGTAGTCATTCTATTTGTTTCTACAGAAGATTGTCACTGTCTGAATGATTGCACAAATTTCCCTGGTTCACCTTGCCCAGGAACATCGTGCCAAACAGGCTGGTTTGGGAGTTACTGCCAAAAGCGTGAGTAAAGTACCATATAAATGTTTTGATTGGGAAAGCTGTATGCAGCCATCCAGTTATGAAAATTGTTACTATATTACTACAACTTAACATATGCAATTATTTTGTTATGGGATATTTTGGAAATATAAATTACTCAAATTATGATATGAGATAATATTTGTGTACATGTATACACGTCTATGCTTGTCGTAAGAGGCGACTAACGGGATCGGGTGGTCAGACTCGTTGATTTTGTTAATGCATGTCATCGTATCCAAAATGCGTGGATCGATTCTCATGATGTCAATCACAGGATTGTCTGGCCCAGACTCGATTATTTGCAGACCGTCGTCATACAGCTTGAATTTTGCTGTTTGTGGCGTTGAACAACAAACAAACAAAAGAAACCAAAACATGTACTGTACATGTAAGTATACAAATTATGTGTGCAACAAAATAGTAGTTTATAGGCAACTCATATAGTTGAATATCCAAATAACACACAACTACCTGTACCTAATTACTTGTGAATATTTATACATTGTAATTAGAAATATATCGGTCGGGTGGTCAACATCTTGCCAGTCAAAAGTTAGATATCCTAGAACTGGTTTAAACACGAGAAATCAACAAATGTCGAAGTATCAGTTTGCAGAAAATGCACGAAATGTCCACAATGAGATTGTCTACGTTGTGAAACTGACAGTACAGTAACAAACCTGTCACGCATAGGTATTTATATGCTTAGTTCTTATTTGGTCAGACGATGTTAATCAGTACATTGTCTTCGTTTTTATTTTGAGCTATACTTTTTAATAAACTAAACTCAGTTGAATCGCTTATGTGTTCGGCATTCTTAGCGCGGGTTTTGCTAGATTGATAGTGCTGCTGAGTTCGACTGTGTTTTGATATTTTATATATTTCGTTAAAGGCAACATAGCACGTGGAAAGCCGACATCGCAGACCAGCACATTGCAAGAATATGAGTATGCTTCACCAGACAAGGCAGTCGATGGCAATACTGACCAAAAGTTTGAGGGTGAAAGTTGTACGCACACAGACGACAAGCTGTCTAGTGGAGCAGAGTGGCGTGTTAACTTCACTACCCAATTGGAGATTAGACGGATGAGAATATATCTGCGTGATGTCTGTGAGTGACATATGACTACTTAGTATATATCCCTTTCATGAAAAGGGAGGCATGCGTGTACCGTTCGTTGGGTCCTTCAGGCGTGGCAGGATCCTAAGCCCCTATCCCCGTATATTACACAATTGGTCCCTTTCTTAAGAGATGTCATTGTTTGTTGTTGAACGCCCTACTCAGCAATATTCCAGCTATATGGCGACAGTCTGTAAATAGTCTAGTGTCGACCAGACAATTCCATTAATTGACATCATGAGCATCGATCTTCACAATTCGGATGTGATGACATGCATCAAGCAAGTCAGCTTGATGCCACAAACTATATACGAACATATGATATAAAGTCATTTCTCATGTAACCCAAGGGATGTCTTGAAAATATATCACATCACAATGTTACTCACATTGTTCTACAAATTGTGTTTGATTTTCTAAATTCAACTTTTTCAGACACCATAGTTCGAAATTCATAACATTTATAATTATCAACATCAAAAGTATAAATTCCAACATGCATTAATGTCACTACACATACCGCCAGGACCCAATCGGGGTTACACATTATACCTATATACATCTTGTATCATCACATAATGATTGTTGTTTACAGTGACTGAACGCAACGTTGGCCTTCAGGTGAAGGTTGGTGACCAGCCGTGTTACACATTGTCTGGACAACAGACTGTTGTGGATATTACATGTGGTGAAGTTTTGAGTGGTTCATCTGTATCAATAAGTGGAAATATACTGACATTATGTGAGGTGCAGATCTTCCGTGAGTTATCATGGTGACATGTCATATTACTTACTAACAATACATATTATTATTTTATAGCATTGAATAATCACATTGGAATATAACCACGAACATACGATAATGATAACGAAACATTATAAGTAATAGATAGATGTTTTGTATTGTATCGGGGTATAAAAGGACAAATGCGTGACCAACCCCTAGAAACCGTTCCATTTTACCCCAATAAAGTAATGTCACAACTCCTCCATCTGTCTTAAAGCACAGCCAAATAAACGGCTACCATGAAAAGCATAGCGTCTGCAGTGAACAGTTCGCTCAAAGTGATCGTTTCACTTTTAGCTACAGACCAACGAGGTAATGGCATGCAGCCGGAGCTGCACTGACCTATAAAGTGTATCAGTTGGAGTATATAATCGGGATATTATTGTACTACATGTGACCCAAATGACAACATTTATTGAATCAGATCCATGATGTGTGTTCTGATTTGCTTCTCATAGTATGTGTACTTGTAGAATGCAGCGACGGCTGGTTCAGCTCTGACTGTGACAAGCAGTGTCAGTGTCAGGGTACAACTGAAGTATGTAACAAGGAGACTGGCAACTGTAGGAGTGGATGTGCTGCCGGGAAACAAGGACTGGGCTGTCAGCAAGGTTCGAAAAGTGTGGTGTTTATATGCAATACTAATAGTATTGTTTAAGTGTAACAATCTGATGGAAAAAACAGCAATTCACAAGCAGTTCCAACTGATCCTTTAATAATGAATTTTACACGAAGTCATAAACTAAGTAATAGTTCAAAAAGATCATTTCGTACTTCATGTTTCATATGAACTTAGTTATCAAGTTTTCCTTCTGAAAAGACAGAATTTAAAGTCAAGACGTGACAATATCTTCCACAGATTGTGGCCAAAATCGTTATGGCATCCAGTGTTCCTCTACGTGTGGTCAGTGTCGCGGGTCATCGAACTGTAAGAAGGATGATGGAACCTGCCCACAAGGATGTCAGCAGGGTTACAGTCTCCCTTTGTGTAAAAGTGAGACATTCAGTTATAGATAGTTGGAATAACAGAAAGGACAATGCTTTAGGCTTAAGTTTCTTATGATTATGGAACGAATTTTTGTCACTTTTATTACATTTTTTGTAACTGTCTTAGAAATGTCTTGTTTTCCCTGAAGTTATCTTCTGAATAAGGCCTCTCCATCAAAATGGTTTGTTTTAGGCACAACCATTTAAGCGAACATTAAGCAAACTATTTATCACTTTGACTAGACAAATATACCGCTTCTCAAACATTAATTCGATTATCATTCTTCATATCAAGAATGTGATAAAGCGAAGAATTATGAACACACAATAAATATAATCAGCAATATCATTTCCATAACCACAAGAAATCGCTGCTGATAACAAGGTTGATTGAGCAATTTCGACTGTATCATGTACATGTGTTTATGAATCACTATCTAACAGGTCAACATATCACACGTGTTGTCTGACATTAACGGTAGGTTCCTCTGATTATCATGGATGCATTTGTTCACTATGACACAGATCTGCACTAAAGTAAATGATATTACCTATATGCATAAATCACAAATGTATTCACTGCGTTCACCCCCAAAATACTTGTTTTGATCATGTACTGAAAGTCGAAATTTCTTCATTCTGTTACAGCCTGTTCTTCTGGTTATTATGGGTCCACGTGTACAGGATGTGGCCGCTGTCAGAACAATGCTCCTTGTAACACGGCAGATGGGAGTTGTGATGCTGGGTGTCAAACTGGATATCAGGGGTCACTGTGTCAAGGTAAGATACCTCTTATATTTTGATTTAAAAAATCCAACGACACAGATTAACACTATGATGAAAGACATTATCTATATGCATAAATTACAAATATATTCATTGCACATTTCAAACAGTTGTTTTGACCCTGTAGGTATTTTCTTAACCCCGTTATAACGCGGGACTCTGGTATTTATGGGTCCATGTGTACAAGATGTTGCCGCTGTGAAACGGTGTTTTCCTCACAGGGCGGATTGGAGATGTGATGCATGGCGTCAACTTATGGTATCAGAACCCATACTGTTAATGTAGCTAGCACTTACATTTTGATTTATCAAAACCTAAATCAACAAGTCTGCACAATGATTATAAACTCACCCAATATATATGAACACCTCTGGTCCATCTGTAAATCTTCTCACACTTTCTCAATCCAGACCAATCTGTATAGTTTAGCTGAGCATCAAGAAGGTATTATTGAGTACTTACAGTTGGGCGCCAGATAGTTAGATATATACTGAACCAAATTAAAAACTTCACAATCCTAAAATTTTACATTTTGACCAGTTATCATTGTGGGCCCTTATTGTGTATTTAAACAGTAATGGCCACGTATTGTCTTCAGATAACACCTGTTTTTGTGCAGGTGAATCGATCAAAATCATGTGCACAGCACTATAGTGGCAAAAGTGTTTTTTCACGTGCAACTGGTCGCGTGGCCATAATACCGCACGTGTTTTCAGCCATACTTGTGAGCAGGCATTAGCAAAAAAGAAAAACACAAGAAAACAAAAGTCTTTACGGCCATTTGTCATGCCACGTCTTTCAAATGTGCAATGTGAACGTGCAATCGGCATGTTGCAGACGGGAACGTCCGTAGCTGAAGTCGCAAGGACGACGGGTTGTAGTCGATGGACTGTTTATGATTTACAAACGCGTCTACAGCAAACAGGTACCACCGCTGATTGCCCTCGGCCAGATCGACCACGTGTGACGTCACATGCAGAGGATCGTCAGATTGTCTTACGTCACCTCCGTAACCGATTTTTGACGGCTACATCAACCAGAAATGAACTGCTTAGGGGTAGACTGAGTGCACAAACTGTTCGAAACCGTCTGAAAATTGCTCACCTTCTAGCACGACGGCCATACTGCGGGCCGATTCTGACTCAATTACACAGACGTCAACGTCAATTGTCGGCACAGCGACACTTACGATGGACTAAGACTAAGTCGTCTTCAGTGATGAATCCCGATTTAATCTTCGATTAACTGATGGTAGGGCGAGGGTGTGGAGGCGCCGTCATGAACGTTACGCCCAGTGTTGTGTACAGGAAGTTGACAGATTTCGAGGCGGAAGTGTCATGGTGTGGTGTGCTTTCTGTGGCAATGCACGTTCCAGGCTTCTTGTCATCCGTGGCAACCTCATCGCTGCTGCTTATCGCGACCAGGTACTGGCACCAGAACTTCTGCCTTTTATGGCAGCACATGGACCCTGTTTGATCTTCCAACACGACAATGCCAGACCCCACACAGCAATTTTGACAAGGAATTTCCTTCAGAATGCGGGAGTGAACGTCATGGACTGGCCGTCAAGGTCTCCCGTTCTAAATCCCTTTTAATACGTCTTGGATGCTCTTGGCAGAAGTCTGCGCACTCTGCAGAACCAACCACAGAATTTGCAAGATCTTGGCACCGTTTTGCAGCAACAATGGCGTCGTCTTCCCAATCATGTGTTCACAAGCATCACAAGGTCCATGTATCTTTTGGCACATTGTGGATTTAGTTAAGCTGTGGAGATTGTTGTTGCTTGGTGTAAAACCCAGTGTCATATTTATCATAATTGTCAGTGTTAAATTTTTAAATATCTGTCTTTATTGTTTGAGCTTTATGGGTTAGATCATATTATGTAACATAAATTATGATAGAAAACGACAGGTTTTGTCGAATCTTGGAACAGAGGTGTATGTTAGCTACCAGGGACAAAGTCATTGTTTGTTTTGACCCACTAGAATGCGAACACATTGAGATATAACGTCTGTAGTCTGCTTCACAGTCGCCTTTATTGAAGGCTAGTACTGAACCAACCTCAGTTGGTGTATGCCACTACAAAACTCTGGCCTTCAGGTGAAAGTGGGTGACCAGCTGTGTTACACATTGTCCGGATAACAGACTGTTCTCAAAATATAATATAACGAAGCTTTGAGTAGTTCATCTGTATCAATAAGTGTTCCTGCAACCTACCTGACAGAATGTGAGGTGCAGATCTTCCGTAAGTTATCATGGTGACATGTCATATTACTTATTAACAATACATATTATTATTTTATGGCATTGAAAAATCACATCAGAATAAAAACACGAAAATAAGATAATTACTATGACAGCTGACTGTAAATAATCACATTCTAAGTTATAGATAGATGTTCAATGAAAGTATGTATCGGGATATAAAAGGACAGTTGCAAGGCAAAAGAACGAGACGAAGAAACCATTCCATTTATCCTGATAAAGTAATGCTACAACTCCTCCATCTGTCTTAAAGGACAGCCAAATAAGCGGCTACCATGAATAGCATATGGGCGTCTGTAGTGAACAGTTCGCTCAAAGGGCTCTTTTCACTTTTAACTATTGGCCCACAACTCCACATAGTATAGCATATAAACGTCTATACGGAAGAAGTCGGGCAAAGGGCACTTTTCAATTTCAACTACTGGACCACGAGCGACTGTGAATATCTCCATGTACATCCAGCCGGAGCAGTACTGACTTATAAAGGTTATCAGTTGGAGTATATCATCGGGATATAATTATACTACATGTGACCCAAAAAAACAACATGTATTGGATCTGGTCCATTAGTTGTGCTTTGATTTGCATCTCATAGTATGTGTACTTGTAGAATGCCGCGATGGATGGTTTGGCTCTGACTGTGAAAGGCAGTGCCAGTGTCAGGATACAACTGATGTATGTGACAAGGTGACTGGCAACTGTAGGAATGGATGTGCTGCCGGGAAACAAGGACTTGGCTGTCAGCAAGGTTAGAAAAGTGTGGTGTTTATACGCAATACTAATAGTATTGTTTAAGTGTAACAATCTGATGGAAAAAACAGCAATTCACAAGCAGTTCCAACTGATCCTTTAAAAGTGAATTTTACACGAAGTCATAAACTCAGTAATAGTTCAAAAAGATAATTTCGTACTTCATGTTTCATATGAACTTAGTTATCAAGTTTTCCTCCTGAAAAGACAGAATTTAAAGTCAAGACGTGACAATATCTTCCACAGATTGTGGCCCACATCTTTATGGTATCCAGTGTTCCTCTACGTGTGGTCAGTGTAGCGGGTCGTCGGACTGTCAGAAGGATGATGGAACATGCACACAAGGATGTCAGCAGGGTTACAGTCCCCCTTTGTGTAGAAGTGAGACATTCAGTTATATATAGTTGGAATAACACAAAGGACACTGCTTTAGGCTTAAGTTTCTTATGATTATGGAACGAATTTTTGTCACTTTTATTACATTTTTTGTAACTGTCTTAGAAATGTCTTGTTTTCCCTGAAGTTATCTTCTGAATAAGGCCTCTCCATCAAAATGGTTTGTTTTAGGCACAACCATTTAAGCGAACATTAAGCAAACTATTTATCACTTTGACTAGACAAATATACCGCTTCTCAAACATTAATTCGATTATCATTCTTCATATCAAGAATGTGATAAAGCGAAGAATTATGAACACACAATAAATATAATCAGCAATATCATTTCCATAACCACAAGAAATCGCTGCTGATAACAAGGTTGATTGAGCAATTTCGACTGTATCATGTACATGTGTTTATGAATCACTATCTAACAGGTCAACATATCACACGTGTTGTCTGACATTAACGGTAGGTTCCTCTGATTATCATGGATGCATTTGTTCACTATGACACAGATCTGCACTAAAGTAAATGATATTACCTATATGCATAAATCACAAATGTGTTCACTGCGTTCACCCCCAAAATACTTGTTTTGATCATGTACTGAAAGTCGAAATTTCTTCATTCTGTTACAGCCTGTTCTTCTGGTTATTATGGGTCCACGTGTACAGGATGTGGCCGCTGTCAGAACAATGCTCCTTGTAACACGGCAGATGGGAGTTGTGATGCTGGGTGTCAAACTGGATATCAGGGGTCACTGTGTCAAGGTAAGATACCTCTTATATTTTGATTTAAAAAATCCAACGACACAGATTAACACTATGATGAAAGACATTATCTATATGCATAAATTACAAATATATTCATTGCACATTTCAAACAGTTGTTTTGACCCTGTAGGTATTTTCTTAACCCCGTTATAACGCGGGACTCTGGTATTTATGGGTCCATGTGTACAAGATGTTGCCGCTGTGAAACGGTGTTTTCCTCACAGGGCGGATTGGAGATGTGATGCATGGCGTCAACTTATGTTATCAGAACCCATACTGTTAATGTAGCTAGCACTTACATTTTGATTTATCAAAACCTTAATCAACCAGTCTGCACAATGATTATAAACTCACCCAATATATATGAACACCTCTGGTCCATCTGTAAATCTTCTCACTCTTTCTCAATCCAGACCAATCTGTATAGTTTAGCTGAGCATCAAGAAGGTATTATTGAGTACTTACAGTTGGGCGCCAGATAATTAGATATATACTGAACCAAATTAAAAACTTCACAATCCTAAAATTTTACATTTTGACCAGTTATCATTGTGGGCCCTTGTTGTGTATTTAAACAGTAATGGCCACGTATTGTCTTCAGATAACACCCGTTTTTGTGCAGGCGAATCGATCAAAATCATGTGCACAGCACTATAGTGGCAAAAGTGTTTTTTCACGTGCAACTGGTCGCGTGGCCATAATACCGCACGTGTTTTCAGCCATACTTGTTAGCAGGCATTAGCAAAAAAGAAAAACACAAGAAAACAAAAGTCTTTACGGCCATTTGTCATGCCACGTCTTTCAAATGTGCAATGTGAACGTGCAATCGGCATGTTGCAGACGGGAACGTCCGTAGCTGAAGTCGCAAGGACGACGGGTTGTAGTCGATGGACTGTTTATGATTTACAAACGCGTCTACAGCAAACAGGTACCACCGCTGATTGCCCTCGGCCAGATCGACCATGCAGAGGATCGTCAGATTGTCTTACGTCACCTCCGTAACCGATTTTTGACGGCTACATCAACCAGAAATGAACTGTTTAGGGGTAGACTGAGTGCGCAAACTGTTCGAAACCGTCTGAAAACTGCTCACCTTCTAGCACGACGGCCATACTGCGGGCCGATTCTGACTCAATTACACAGACGTCAACGTCAATTGTCGGCACAGCGACACTTACGATGGACTAAGACTTCAGTGATGAATCCCGATTTAATCTTCGATTTACTGATGGTAGGGCGAGGGTGTGGAGGCGCCGTCATGAACGTTACGCCCAGTGTTGTGTACAGGAAGTTGACAGATTTCGAGGCGGAAGTGTCATGGTGTGGTGTGCTTTCTGTGGCAATGCACGTTCCAGGCTTCTTGTCATCCGTGGCAACCTCATCGCTGCTGCTTGTCGCGACCAGGTACTGGCACCAGAACTTCTGCCTTTTATGGCAGCACATGGACCCTGTTTGATCTTCCAACACGACAATGCCAGACCCCACACAGCAATTTTGACAAGGAATTTCCTTCAGAATGCGGGAGTGAACGTCATGGACTGGCCGTCAAGGTCTCCCGTTCTAAATCCCTTTGAATACGTCTTGGATGCTCTTGGCAGAAGTCTGCGCACTCTCCAGAACCAACCACAGAATTTGCAAGATCTTGGGACCGTTTTGCAGCAACAATGGCGTCGTCTTCCCAATCATGTGTTCACAAGCATCACAAGGTCCATGTATCTTTTGTCACATTGTGGATTTAGTTAAGCTGTGGAGATTGTTGTTGCTTGGTGTAAAACCCAGTGTCATATTTATCATAATTGTCAGTGTTAAATTTTTAAATATCTGTCTTTATTGTTTGAGCTTTATGGGTTAGATCATATTATGTAACATAAATAAGGATAGAAAACGACAGGTTTTGTCGAATCTTGGAACAGAGGTGTATGTTAGCTACCAGGGACAAAGCCATTGTTTGTTTTGACCCACTAGAATGCGAACACATTGAGATATAACGTCTGTAGTCTGCTTCACAGTCGCCTTTATTGAAGGCTAGTACTGAACCAACCTCAGTTGGTGTATGCCACTACAAAACTCTGGCCTTCAGGTGAAAGTGGGTGACCAGCTGTGTTACACATTGTCCGGATAACAGACTGTTCTCAAAATATAATATAACGAAGCTTTGAGTAGTTCATCTGTATCAATAAGTGTTCCTGGAACCTACCTGACAATATGTGAGGTGCAGATCTTCCGTAAGTTATCATGGTGACATGTCATATTACTTATTAACAATACATATTATTATTTTATGGCATTGAAAAATCACATCAGAATAAAAACACGAAAATAAGATAATTACTATGACAGCTGACTGTAAATAATCACATTCTAAGTTATAGATAGATGTTCAATGAAAGTATGTATCGGGATATAAAAGGACAGTTGCAAGGCAAAAGAACGAGACGAAGAAACCATTCCATTTATCCTGATAAAGTAATGCTACAACTCCTCCATCTGTCTTAAAGGACAGCCAAATAAGCGGCTACCATGAATAGCATATGGGCGTCTGTAGTGAACAGTTCGCTCAAAGGGCTCTATTCACTTTTAACTATTGGCCCACAACTCCACATAGCATAGCATATAACTGTCTATACAGAAGAAGTCGGGCAAAGGGCACTTTTCAATTTCAACTACTGGACCACGAGCGACTGTGAATATCTCCATGTACATCCAGCCGGAGCAGTACTGACTTATAAAGGTTATCAGTTGGAGTATATCATCGGGATATAATTATACTACACGTGACCCAAAAAAACAACATGTATTGGATCTGGTCCATTAGTTGTGCTTTGATTTGCATCTCATAGTATGTGTACTTGTAGAATGCCGCGATGGATGGTTTGGCTCTGACTGTGAAAGGCAGTGCCAGTGTCAGGATACAACTGATGTATGTGACAAGGTGACTGGCAACTGTAGGAATGGATGTGCTGCCGGGAAACAAGGACTTGGCTGTCAGCAAGGTTAGAAAAGTGTGGTGTTTATACGCAATTCTAATAGTATTGTTTAAGTGTAACAATCTGATGGAAAAAACAGCAATTCACAAGCAGTTCCAACTGATCCTTTAATAGTGAATTTTACACGAAGTCATAAACTAAGTAATAGTTCAAAAAGATAATTTCGTACTTCATGTTTCATATGAACTTAGTTATCAAGTTTTCCTCCTGAAAAGACAGAATTTAAAGTCAAGACGTGACAATATCTTCCACAGATTGTGGCCCACATCTTTATGGTATCCAGTGTTCCTCTACGTGTGGTCAGTGTAGCGGGTCGTCGGACTGTCAGAAGGATGATGGAACATGCACACAAGGATGTCAGCAGGGTTACAGTCCCCCTTTGTGTAGAAGTGAGACTTTCAGTTATATATAGTTGGAATAACACAAAGCACACTGTTTTAGGCTTAAGTTTCTTATGATTATGGAACGAATTTTTGTCACTTTTATTACATTTTTTGTAACTGTCTTAGAAGTGTCTTGTTTTCCCTGAAGTTATCTTCTGAATAAGGCCTCTCCATCAAAATGGTTTGTTTTAGGCACAACCATTTAAGCGAACATTAAGCAAACTATTTATCACCTTGACTAGACAAATATACCGCTTCTCAAACATTAATTCGATTATCATTCTTCATATCAAGAATGTGATAAAGCGAAGAATTATGAACACACAATAAATATAATCAGCAATTCCCTTTCCATAACCACAAGAAATCGCTGCTGATCACAAGGTTGATTGAGCAATTTCGACTGTATCATGTACATGTGTTTATGAATCACTATCTAACAGGTCAACATATCACACGTGTTTTCTGACATTAACGATAGATTCCTCTGATTATCATGGATGCATTTGTTCACTATGACACAGATCTGCACTAAAGTAAATGATATTACCTATATGCATAAATCACAAATGTGTTCACTGCGTCCACCCCCAAAATCCTTGTTTTGATCATGTACTGAAAGTCGAAATTTCTCCATTCTGTTACAGCCTGTTCTTCTGGTTATTATGGGTCCACGTGTACAGGATGTGGCCGCTGTCAGAACAATGCTCCTTGTAACACGGCAGATGGGAGTTGTGATGCTGGGTGTCAAACTGGATATCAGGGGCCAATGTGTCAAGGTAAGATATCTCTTATATTTTGATTTAAAAAATCCAACGACACAGATTATCATCTGATGAAAGACATTATCTATATGCATAAATTACAAATATATTCATTGCACATTTCAAACATTTGTTTTGACCCTGTAGGTATTTTCTTCACTCTGTTATAACGCGTGACTCTGGTATTTGTGGGTCCATGTGTACAAATGTTGCCGCTGTGATACGGTGTTTTCCTCACAGGGCGGATTGGAGATGTGATGCATGGCGTCAACTTATGGTATCAGAACCCATACTGTTAATGTAGCTAGCACTTACATTTTGATTTATCAAAACCTAAATCAACCAGTCTGCACAATGATTATAAACTCACCCAATATATATGAACACCTCTGGTCCATCTGTAAATCTTCTCACCCTTTCTCAATCCAGACCAATCTGTATAGTTTAGCTGAGCATCAAGAAGGTATTATTGAGTACTTACAGTTGGGCGCCAGATAATTAGATATATACTGAACCAAATTAAAAACTTCACAATCCTAAAATTTGACATTTTGAGCAGTTATTATCGTGGGCCCTTATTGTGTATTTAAACAGTAATGGCCACGTATTGTCTTCAGATATCACCCGTTTTTGTGCAGGCGAATCGATCAAAATCATGTGCACAGCACTATAGTGGCAAAAGTGTTTTTTCACGTGCAACTGGTCGCGTGGCCATAATACCGCACGTGTTTTCAGCCATACTTGTTAGCAGTCATTAGCAAAAAAGAAAAACACAAGAAAAAACAAAAGACTTTACGGCCACTTGTCATACCACGTCTTTCAAATGTGCAATGTGAACGTGCAATCGGCATGTTGCAGACGGGAACGTCCGTAGCTGAAGTCGCAAGGACGACGGTTTGTAGTCGATGGACTGTTTATGATTTACAAACGCGTCTACAGCAAACAGGTACCACCGCTGATTGCCCTCGGCCAGATCGACCACGTGTGACGTCACATGCAGAGGATCGTCAGATTGTCTTACGTCACCTCCGTAACCGATTTTTGACGGCTACATCAACCAGAAATGAACTGTTTAGGGGTAGACTGAGTGCGCAAACTGTTCGAAACCGTCTGAGAACTGCTCACCTTCTAGCACGACAGCCATATTGCGGCCGATTCTAACTCAATTACACAGACGTCAACGTCAATTGTCGGCACAGCGACACTTACGATGGACTAAGACTAAGTCCTCTTCAGTGATGAATCCCGATTTAATCTTCGATTTGCTGATGGTAGATCGATGGTGTGGAGGCGCCGTTATGAACATTACGCCCAGTGTTGTGTACAGGAAGTTGACAGATTTCGAGGCGGAAGTGTCATGGTGTGGTGTGCTTTCTGTGGCAATGCACGTTCCAGGCTTCTTGTCATCCGTGGCAACCTCATCGCTGCTGCTTATCGCGACCAGGTACTGGCACCAGAACTTCTGCCTTTTATGGCAGCACATGGACCCTGTTTGATCTTCCAACACGACAATGCCAGACCCCACACAGCAATTTCCTTCAGAATGCGGGAGTGAACGTCATGGACTGACCGTCAAGGTCTCCCGTTCTAAATCCCATTGAACACGTCTTGGATGCTCTTGGCAGAAGTCTGCGCACTCTCCAGAACCAACCACAGAATTTGCAAGATCTTGGGACCGTTTTGCAGCAACAATGGCGTCGTCTTCCAAATCATGTGTTCACAAGCATCACAAGGTCCATGTATCTTTTGGCACATTATTGATTTAGTTAAGCTGTGGAGATTGGTGTTGCTTGGTGTAAAACCCAGTGTCATATTTATCATAATTGTCAGTGTTGAATTTTATAAATATCTGTCTTTATTGTTTGAGCTTTATGGGTTAGTTCATATTATGTAACATAAATAAGGATAGAAAACGACAGGTTTCGTCGAATCTTGGAACAGAGGTGTATGTTAGCTACCAGGGACAAAGCCATTGTTTGTGTTGACCCACTAGAATGCGAACACATTGAGATGTAACGTCTGTAGTCTGCTTCACAGTCGCCTTTATTGAAGGCTAGTACTGAACCAACCTCAGTTGGTGTATGTCACTACAAAACTCTGGCCTTCAGGTGAAAGTGGGTGACCAGCTGTGTTACACATTGTCCGGATAACAGACTGTTCTCAAAATATAATATAACGAAGCTTTGAGTAGTTCATCTGTATCAATAAGTGTTCCTGGAACCTACCTGACAGAATGTGAGGTCCAGATCTTCCGTAAGTTATCATGGTGACATGTCATATTACTTATTAACAATACATATTATTATTTTATGGCATTGAAAAATCACATCAGAATAAAAACACGAAAATAAGATAATTACTATGACAGCTGACTGTAAATAATCACATTCTAAGTTATAGATAGATGTTTAATGAAAGTATGTATCGGGATATAAAAGGACAGTTGCAAGACAAAAGAACGAGACGAAGAAACCATTCCATTTATCCTGATAAAGTAATGCTACAACTCCTCCATCTGTCTTAAAGGACAGCCAAATAAGCGGCTACCATGAATAGCATATGGGCGTCTGTAGTGAACAGTTCGCTCAAAGGGCTCTTTTCACTTTTAACTATTGGCCCACAACTCCACATAGTATAGCATATGAACGTCTATACAGAAGAAGTCGGGCAAAGGGCACTTTTCAATTTCAACTACTGGACCACCAGGCCCCGGCCCTAGCGACTGTGAATATCTCCATGTACATCCAGCCGGAGCAGTACTGACTTATAAAGTTTATCAGTTGGAGTATATAATCGGGATATTATTGTACTACACGTGATCCAAAAAACAACATGTATTGGATCTGGTCCATTAGTTGTGCTATAATTATAATATAACAGACCAACGAGGTAATGGCATGCAGCCGGAGCTGCACTGACCTATAAAGTGTATCAGTTGGAGTATATAATCGGGATATTATTGTACTACATGTGACCCAAATGACAACATTTATTGAATCAGATCCATGATGTGTGTTCTGATTTGCTTCTCATAGTATGTGTACTTGTAGAATGCAGTGACGGCTGGTTCAGCTCTGACTGTGACAAGCAGTGTCAGTGTCAGGATACAACTGAAGTATGTAACAAGGAGACTGGCAACTGTAGGAGTGGATGTGCTGCCGGGAAACAAGGACTGGGCTGTCAGCAAGGTTCGAAAAGTGTGGTGTTTATATGCAATACTAATAGTATTGTTTAAGTGTAACAATCTGATGAAAAGACAGCAATTCACGAGCAGTTCCAACTGATCCTTTAATAGTGAATTTTACACGAAGTCATAAACTAAGTAATAGTTCAAAAAGATCATTTTGTACTTAATGTTTCATATGAACTTAGTTATCAAGTTTTCCTCCTGAAAAGACAGAATTTAAAGTCAAGACGTGACTATATCTTCCACAGATTGTGGCCCACATCTTTATGGTATCCAGTGTTCCTCTACGTGTGGTCAGTGTAGCGGGTCGTCGGACTGTAAGAAGGATGATGGAACCTGCACACAAGGATGTCAACAGGGTTACAGTCCCCCTTTGTGTAGAAGTGAGACATTCAGTTATATATAGTTGGAATAACACAAAGGACACTGCTTTAGGCTTAAGTTTCACTTTTATCACATATTTTGTAACTGTGTTTGAAATGTCTTGTTTTCCCTGAAGGTATCTTCTTAATAAGGCCTCTCCATCAAAATGGTTTGTGTTCTACGCACAACCATTCAAGCAAACATTAAGCAAACTATTTATCACTTTAACAAGACAAATATACCGCTTCTCATACATCAAATCGATTATCATTCTACATATCAAGAATGTGATAAAGCGAAGAATAATGAACACACAATAAATATAATCAGCAATACCCTTTCCATAACCACAAGAAATCCCTGTTAAAACAGAGTTGATTGAGCAATTTCGACTGTATCATGTACATGTGTTTATGAATCACTATCTAACAGGTTAACATACCACATGTGTTGTCTTACATTAACGATAGGTTCCTCTGCGTATACGAATTGGACCTCTGATTATCATGGATGCATGTTTGTAAAATGTGTGCACTGTGACACTGATCTGCACTATAATAAATGACATTACCTATATGCATAAATCACAAATGTGTTCACTGCGTTCACCCCCCAAAATACTTGTTTTGAAAATGTGCTAAGAGTCGAAATTTCTCCATCCTGTTACAGCTTGCCAGTCTGGTTATTATGGGTCCACGTGTACATCACAATGTGGCCATTGTCAAAACAAGACGCCTTGTAACACGGCAGATGGGAGATGTGAAGTTGGGTGTCAAACTGGATATCAGGGGCCACTGTGTCAAGGTAAGATACCTCTTATATTTTGATTAAAAAAATCCAACGACACAGATTAACACTGTGATAGAGACATTATCCATATGCATAAATTACATATTCATTGCACATTTCAAACAGATGTTTTGACCCTGTAGGTATTTTCTTCACTCCGTTATAACGCGTGACTCTGGTATTTATGGGTCCATGTGCACAAGATGTTGCCCATGTAGAAACAACGGTGTTTTCCTCACAGGGCGGAGTGGAGATGTGATGCATGGCGTCAACTTTGGTATCAGAACCCAAACTGTAAATGTAGCTAGCACTTACATTTTGATTTATCAAAACCTAAATATACATGAACACCTCTGGTCCGTCTGTAAATCTTCTCACTCTTTCTCAATCCAGACCAGTCTGTATAGTTTAGCTGAGCATCAAGAAGATATTACAGGTATACTTACAGTTGGGTGCCAGATAGTTAGATAATACAAGCATTATTGTATTTAAGGGTTGACTTCAATGTTTTCTGCGTTAATAGAGGTATAAACGTAAAAGCCGGTGTGCACATTGTGTAAATCCACCTAGCCAATCAGAAAACAGTAAACTAGAAAGAGATTACGGCCAAGACCATGGTGTTTGAGGTCTACTGATCGTGGCGACAGATGCAAAGTTGAATACACAGTTGTTAAAAAGGTGTTCAGTTGACAAGGTTTATTCCAAAACGAACCAAGGCCTGGTCAACTGATGGTTTGCGTGAGGCGGAGGCTGAACCGAGGTAAAAAACCACAGAGGTCAGGGCATGGCTGATGGGTGATTTCTGTGTCGTCGAGCAATGGCGATGATAATTTCTCTAAGACCTCTTACTTTTGTGTCCACTCATGAACATCATATGCCTTACCTCAAAACCAGCATCATTCTTTGCTTGAATTTTTGTGGCTCGGAGACAATGTGCATTATACTTTTTTAACAACTTGCATTGCGCGAGATTTTATTCATGAATCTCGAACATTGATGGGGTTAAAATTGTTTGTCAGAGTACAAAGTGTTTTCAAGATTAGGCGTTGCTCTTGCCCCTTTTCAAAAGTGGTTAAACAGTGATTCGACAGAAGGATTTTGAAGACAAAAAGGCGCAGGGACTCAACGATGCAAGCATTTTCGTTGCCGGAAGCGTACATCCGTTTATCGGATGTCGCGTTTTCACTTTGGAGACCACCCTGACATTTTTTTCTGTTTTGTCTCGTGAGTCACCATTCTTGAAAATCTATGCCCCTCGTGATGAAGTGGATTCCCAGTTCGTACAGTACTGGGTAACGGATAACTGCATTTTTGGTTAAATGAAGGTATGAGAAAATGTGTTGTAAATCTGCCGGTGGAATCCATTGGCCGTGAAAGCCCATTTTCAGCACTGAATTTTGGATTCCCATCGAGAAGGTCATTGGCTGGTCTGAGCTGTTTGTCTCTAACAAGACCCATGTCTGCCGATGTCCCGCAGTTGCACATTTTTGGCGATTTTACATTTTTAAGCTTATTTTTGTGGAACTCCGCAGCTTGATTGGGGGAAATATTCAGGTATTTGAGAAATGTTCTTTGGACGGGGCTTAAGCATATAATTGCCTTAATTTCAGGCATAGTTTTTCGGGCATAATTTCTGTCATGTTGATGTGGCCACCGCTAACTTCACCGCCTCACAACATCAGTCTCATTGTTTCTTAAACGGAAATCGCCATCAGCCATGACTAAGCTGTAGCAGACGACGTCCTATTAATTGTGTAAATATGTTTAGTTGTGAAAATACATTTCATGCTTGTGTGTAAATTGTATTTTAAGCGATCGAATCACAATGCGTGTGACATAAACAAAAGTAGGAAAAAACACCAATTGAAGTTTTTATTCTTTGAGTTTATTGAACTGAAGGCTATGCATCTCATGGGCTAGACACTGGGGATACCGAACACATGGGCGTGGTCTATATTGTTTTAGGTTGATGGAAACATACATGGAAAAAAATTGCTGAGTTAACCGATCAAATGCCACGTAATCACTTTCAATTTAATTCTAGATGTTTATATCAAAATTAGGTTTCATCTTCAATTATGGAAATTTATTTACAAAATAATTGTCTTAACAGCACATAACAGTTGATCTGGAACATATTTTACTGAAAAAGTCGTACCCTGATACAACTTTTGCTTCTGATTCTTATGGAAACCCGTGTACAAGATGTTGGAAAACTGCTGCTTCTTACACCACTAATTGGAAATGTCATACTGGGTGTCAAACTGAATATCAGTGCCCCTTATGCAACAGATTGTCTACTCTTAAAATGCAGTTACAAAGAATGTGAAATTAGTTACATCTTCATTTAATGGCACTGGCTATGCATACTATGATAAATAAATATTTAAGCATTAGCTTACGAGCTTGGGTTGTTTTATTCCTATGAAGTGTCTAAATAGTCCAAGTAGCTTTCAAAATCTTTCAAAAAGGTAATTAAAATCTACATCCGCCAAACAACTGCGAGAAGTCGCGACTTAAACTAGTGAAGTTTTACAGTCGAAGTTATACCATCAATCTCAGTTCCCAGAGAGTGACTGCACATTGATCTGTACATTCCCATTCGTGAATCAGTGCAAACTTCATTCCACCTTTTATACATGTGACTTGTTACAAAACAATCTCTTCCATGAAAGATTTTAATCTGACATTCAACTTATAATCCAATTTCAAATTGCACAAACATTATCTTATGATACGTATATTGTAGAGAAAATATGTTGTATTTTGTCATTTAAGCGGTTTCCAAAATATATATCCTACAATGTGGTAGTTTCATCCTTTCAAGGCAAGCTTTTAACATCATCCTTCCATTCAGTGTGTGCAGTTCACTTCTATGGACCGCCCTGCCAAGGATGTGGACACTGTAAGGACGATACCCCATGTTCTGATCTTAATGGGACATGCGTGACTGGCTGTAAACCTGGATATGAACCTCCACTGTGCAACACAGGTAACATATCTTATTTCATCTGGAGTCAATTTATTGACACGTACTGATTAGATCATACATGGAATTAAATACATTATATTGGCATCGTAGTGTCAGTTTCAATTTGTACTTGACACACAGCATGTTCCGCTGGTTCCTACGGGTCGCCCTGCAGGCAGTGTGGACACTGTCAGGACAACACTAACTGCTCCAGGCAAGATGGGACATGTTCTACTGGGTGTGAGGCTGGATATCGACGCCCACTGTGCCATGAGAGTATGTAACAACAAAGACACATTCTCGCCAGACTTTGTGGAAAACTGTAGGTTATTGTAGTGACTGCAGTGCGATATCTACTGCACTTAATAGAATATATGCCTATGATGCATTCTTATGAAATTTCTAAGAATACAAGTTGGTGTGCTCCCAGAGGAAGTGACAAAAATTACAATATTTAAGATTTTCAGTGTTATGAAAAAATGTTTAACATCAGAAGAAAGTGGTAACCTACATTAATGAATGCCCCCGACTGAACCGATAACTAACACGAATCACACCCATCGTTTTCACCACTGTATTCTTTGATGTAGGTTTGTGATAAAAGTTAAACATAAAGGGAGATCACACCCACACAGTACTTATTATTCTTTCTTATCTGCCTTTCTTTTATATGGTTATTCTATTCCATTTTAAAAGAGTGTCCAGACACATTTTATGGAGTGAACTGTTCGTCAGGTTGTGGCCAGTGTCATACATTAACAACGTGTCACCATGTGAATGGAAGCTGCCCTGAAGGGTGCAGTAATGGTTACAAAGGACCTTTGTGTAAAGGTTATAATATAGCAACATTATCTCAAATAAAGACAAATGTGTAAATTACGTTTCTTATCATGTTATACAGACACTAAAATGGAAAATAAGAATGACATGTTTGGAGCTTGGAAAAGAAAAACTCGATCATTCATCAATCTTTCCTACTCAGCAGCACTGACCTTCATCCTGAAGCCTTGTTTGATGGTGATTTTACCGGATGGAATGAAACGTTATATGTAGAGTTTCATGAACACTTGCTATGAAATAGTTGGAATCGTACAATGGACAGCGATTTCTCATGATCAATGCAAGAGTTTTGTCTCTTATATTTGAGTAATGACAAAATACCTTTGGTGCAAAATCATACTTTCTTGTGAGCACCATATATACGTTTCTATTGTGTAAACAACTGTCAAAGACCAAATAAGTTTCACAAAAGAGCCAAGATAGTGTAACAAACACATCTTATGTTTCAATGGAAGAGAATAACCAGAGAATATTATCCGCCGAAACAGATTCCGTTAGGCGTGAAGGGCAAAATAGCTGTGAAAATTATACGAATGGGCCACTGAAACTAAGTGATGACACCAGGTATTCGCAGGGATATTGCTCAGTGCCTAAAGTCATAGACTAAAGACCAGAGATCCTGCCCAATATTCATGTAGATTATCTTAATCACACTTTAGCTTAATGTTGATTAAACCTCTTACAGTATCTGCTTTCGGAAAGTGCGCCCTTAAGCCTTTACAACATCAGCTTTCGGAATTTGCGCCATTAAGCCTCTTACAACAACTGCTTTCGGAATGTGCATCATTAAGCCTCTTACAACATCTGCTTTCGGAATGTGCGTCATTAGGCCTCTCATATCATCTCCTTTCAGAATTGGTCTCATTTAGCCTCTCACAATATCTGCTTACAGAATGTGCGTCATTAAGCCTCTCACAACATCTCCTTTCAGAATGAGTCTCATTAGGCCTCTTACAACATCTGCTTTCAGAATGTGCGTCATTAAGCCTCTCACAACATCTGCTTTCAGAATATGCGTCATTAGGCCTCTCACAACATCTACTTTCAGAATGTGCGTCATTAAGCCTCTACCAACATCTGCTTTCAGAATGTGCGTCATTAAGCCTCTCACAATATCTGCTTTCAGAATATGCGTCATTAAGCCTCTCACAACATCTACGTTCAGAATGTGCGTCATTAAGCCTCTACCAACATCTGCTTTCAGAATGTGCGTCATTAAGCCTCTCACAATATCTGCTTTCAGAATATGCGTCATTAGGCCTCTCACAACATCTACTTTCAGAATGTGCGTCATTAAGCCTCTCCCAACATCTGCATTCAGAATGTGCGTCATTAAGCCTGTAACAACATCTGCTTTCAGAATGTTCTGATGGTTATTATGGTTCCAACTGCACTGCTTGTGGGCAATGCAAGGGAGACAACTGCAAGTCACTAGATGGAGAGTGTCCTGGAGGATGTCAGCCTGGCTATGAAGCTCCACTATGTCAACAAGGTAAGCCTCTCTCTCTCTCTCTCTCTCTCTCTCTCTCTCTCTCTCTCTCTCTCTCTCTCTCTCTCTCTCTCTCTCTTAAGAATAACTTGCACAATCAATAAGCAATTTATACATCATAATTGTACCAGCGTGAGCCAGTAAACAAACAGGAATACTGAATGATGGTATGAAGTAAAACTGATTCCATAACAGTTTCATAAAAAAAACAGCCTTCACATTTTCATGGGTATAGAGTGTATCAACAACACCTATGGAGAAAATTGCCAACATCCCTGTGGCAATTGTCTTAATGGGACATGTCAGCCCTCCAATGGCTCATGCATACTTGGGTGCGAGGAAGGCTACAAGGGTGATTCCTGCAAACGTGAGTAGATCAAACGCTGTAGGTATTTAACAAGTTTCCTCTCCTTTATTCTAGACGTTAATAAAGACATTTGATATTATTTATTTGCGAGAGTTGGAAATTGTTTTGGAATATCAATACATCTTTGATTAGTGTCAATATCTTTCAGCGTCTACCCCGAAATGAAATAGATACATTAAACTTAATCGCATGTAATACCTTAATAACTCACTCATGAACCAAAGTATGAATTATTTTTGACTTTTTAAAATAATAGTATCTACAAGCTCTCAAAAGGGCGACGGTTCCCTATCCAGTTCCACCGTTGGGGCAATAAGTGGAGCGGCTGTAGCTGTACTAGTGGCAGTGATCCTCGTAGTCCTGTTGGTCGTCATCAAGAGGTATGTGTCATACTTATAATATCGTTTTGTAACATCTTATATTCATGATGAGTCTCTTACCTTGTGGTTTAATCCACAACAGAGTAGGTCCCAAGTACCTAAGGCAGCATACAATGTGGATCGGGTAGTCAGACACAATGACCTTGATGGCATGGGTCCGAACATCTTACCTTCAGTCACTGGTTTGCCAGACTCGATGTTTTACAGATCTCGACGAATAGTCGGAATATTGTTCACTTTGACGTCAAGCAATATTCAGTCACACAACCACTGAAACATACATGAAGGGTTTTACTTGAATATACACAACGGAACACACTATGACAGTAATAAACATTATAAAAGTTGTTTCGCATTGCACATTGTACCACACTTCTAAAGACGTGTATGCAATGAGTATTAGTTCTACGGACACTACCATTAATTGTACTACCATGTACATGAACATTAAAACAGAGGATCGTTTATGTTCCAGAAGACGTAATATGAAGTCTCAACAAGAGGAAAATACAATTTCTCTCGGTAAAGTAAAAGGTGTGTCCTAACATGTTAGTACTACGGTTATGAACTATTATTCTCGTTTTAGAATTTTCCCTTTTCATAGCAAATCAGGAACCACAATTTGCTCGCACTGATGATCATGCTATGCTTTATCTCTGTGCACATTTCGAAACAACCATCACACGTAGGGTATAAGTACACGTACATAGTTTACATCAGACACCCTATTTAGTAGCATATGTCTTTTTAATGGCATTTACCTGAAACAAAAGAACACGATGATGAATTAATATCTGATTGCTCTTGTTTCAGGTGAGAAAGACGCTCCTGCTGCAGGTAAACCTGCGCCACTTGAGAAGCCTGCTAAGAAACCAAAGCCTCCTGCAGACAACGTGTACGAGAACTCGGAACCATACTACAACGTCGTCCCAGGTCCTGTGTCCCTTGACAGACTCAAGCAGTACGTCAGGGATAGAGTGACGGGCGTGGGGTTCGAACACGAGTACAAGGTAGGGCGTGGTAAAATTGATGAATACAACTGTAATCTAAAGTAAAGACATGCCTCTTTAAAAGCGCAGGTTCATTTGTTTTGCAAAGGAGTGGAGTTATAATGATGTTATTCAGTCTTTATAATAGAGGAAAGTATGTAAATCCCTAACTATTTCGCCAATCAAAATCTTACATTTAAGGTAACCTTAATGTTTTTATATGGCATTGTCAACATGAATATACATGTTATCAGTATGGTATAGAAGGATGAATTCTTTCGAGACGTAAAAACTGCGAGCACCTGGTGTCATTACTGATTATCAGTCATATGCATAGTTTCCACAGCTATTTTGCCCTTTACGCCAAATGGAATCTGTTTCAGAGGAGAATCAAGACTAGTTATAGCATTGATGTTTTATATTTTCAGCTACTCCGTTACGGAATACACGGAGCTCATGTCGAAGGGAGAAAACCTGAAAACAAAAAGAGGAACCGTTTCTTGGAACTATTTCCATGTGAGTTTTAGTGAAATATTAATGTACATAAAAGAGCCCGTTATTGGCGTACATGTACGTTTTGGGGGTATTGTTTTATAATGAATCGTGTGTGCTGCAATCTACTGGTTAATAAAATCAATAACTAAATATGATTTTAACCTCGTTTGAAAACTTGCTCTATTTCATACATCACATGTTCACTTACACCCTCAAAACTGAAAAGAAAACAATCATCAGATCCGTATTTGTCATATTTGCACTTCCAGGTATATTTACTCTTACTCTATTCTAAAGAAGATATCATATATATGTCCTGCTACATAGGTAAATGTCACAGTCTTATGTAAATCAAAGTTTCAGGATTTCAGCTTATACGTTTGGGGTGATTTATATATGATTGGTAGAATAAACATAATGACTGGCCTCATATTCATATTTGCCTCATGCAGCGAACACGAAATTTCATTTTGAACGTGCTGACTTTGCTATACAATATGAATTTATTATTCAATTTCCTTGATGGTGTGACACTAGTATTCTAGATAGCGTCTCTATTAAAACAATGTTTATTGAGTAGATATCATCGTGTGTGTTTCGTCATATGAAAACATATCCTTATTTCTCTTTTGAACAGATGACGACAGTCGCGTGGTTCTGATGCCAGATGGTGATGCCACATGGGACTATATCCATGCCAGCTACATAACTGTAAGCCACACTTAATCAAATGGTTAGCTATTCCCGAATGTATATTATTCCAAACTGCCCCTTGCAAATAAATGAGTGAGCGAAAAGCAATTTTGTATAATGTGTTTGTCATCTGTCACTGCACAATACGTGTGTTTGTTTCAGGGCTTCTCCGAATCCAGTGTGTTCATTGCTGCACAAGGTATAAGTCTTGAACGTTATTATATGTTTGGTACATAGATGACTGATTCCTCTATAACACATATACAAAACTATTGGTATATCATTTCCCTCATTGCAAGTCTACAAAGTGGATCTGTGAACGGTTTTATTTACATACATGATTTTCGATGACCTCCTCTGTTTATTTGTTTATTGTTTAACGCCACACCCAACAATATTACAGCTATATGACACCTGTCTTTTAATTATCAAGTGTGGACCAGACAATCTAGTGATTGACATCATGAGCATCGATCCACACAATTGGGATATGATGACATGCATCAACCAAGTCAGTTAGCCTCACTACCCGATGCCGTTAGTCGCCTCTCACGACAAGGAGGGTTGCTGGAGACCTGTTCTAACCCTGCGGATCTTCACGCGTAGGCCTCCTCTGACTCGGAATTCCCCATCACACTACCAGAGTCATACCTTTCTTCATTACTCATGGACACACACTATTTTCAAACCAAGGTTGAAGGAATCTCATGGACATGGTAATTATATTCCAGGACCAAACCCTGTCACTGTGAACGATTTCTGGAGGATGGTGTGGCAGGAAAACGTCTCGATAATCATCATGCTAACTAGAGTCATGGAACTAAACAGGGTAAGCTGAACTGAAGAGTAAAGCGTTTACATGAACACATTCCTCTTGTAATAATCTGTGATGGCAACAAACGTCTGTATCTCTTTGCCTTCCCTCGAGCAACCTTCATATAACTGATAGGGGTTGAGAGCCGTCTAAAATTAGAATCCGAGGCGCATGATTGACTTTTTCAGATATTAATTATATTACCTATACATTAAGTGTTAAAACATTTTGCAGTCAAGGATGCACATAACCATCCACTTTCTTTTCAGAAAAAGTGCGAACAATATTGGCCTGACGAGAAAGAACAGAAGATGTGTGGTCGCATTGTTATCAAGCCACTGTTGGCCACAGTCAGGGCGGACTTTACCATCAGAAAATACAGTGTTCACCATTCTACGAAAGTAGGTCCTTTGGTCCTGCGCGATACTGAAGCACATGTTGCACATAGGGTGTCTCCTGAGGCATGTGACTTTGTTCGAAATATGCCTCTGTTTACTCATCTGTGAATGGGTATCCGGTAGGATGAAATGGTAGTGCGACAGTCACTGTTAACCATCTAGCCCCAACAGGAAGCTTTGGCCGTATACTCCCTAGGGAACTGTGAACGAAATGTGATCGGGGTTGTAACAGTGTAGCGCTTTGAGCATGCGTGTGTTGAAATATAGCGCAATATAAATGGTATTTCATAATATTTACTATATAGTCGGAATCGTAGTCCGCTTTAAGCAGATATTTCTTGTGGATATTAAAAAGGGGTTTGTCGCTTTATCATTATTATTATTTGTACTTAAAAATAGTTAATTTAAGGAAATCGGAGTTGTGCAATATGTTGTTATCAGAATTGACACTTCCTCTGTTCCATATGAGTGAGTGAATGAGAGAGTATGGTTATACGCCACTCTTAGCAATATTCCAGCAATATCACGGCGGGGTACACCAGAATCCAGGTCTTCGGCATGACGAGCGAACGCTTTAACCACTAGGCTACCCGACCGCTCCCGTTCCATATGAGACATGTAGATCTGTTTTATTTGAGATGCTAATTCTAGCCCTCTGACAAGAGGAAAGTGAGGCAGCTTCACTTCACGTCCTGGCCTGACCACGATGTTCCTTCAGCGCCGGCTCTGGTCGGCTTCTGGAAGCAGTACAGGAGTCTGACGTCATCAGAGGAGGACATTACCGGACCTGTTGTAGTTCACTGCAGGTATGTTGCCTGTAACATTTTCAAGATATGTTTGCGCTTTCAACTAGAAACAAAATACCTC